TGGATACCACGTAAACTGGCAGTGATTTTACTAGCATCAGCCTCGTGTGAATTACGAGCGCTAATCTCTCCCAGTCGCATGACCAAGACGTCTTGCAGACGGCTAGGATCCGAAGGGAAAACAATGATTGGTGTCTTGACGGAGACGTCAAATTGCATTCTCTCAATCTCCGAAGCTCTCTGAACTGCGGCGTCACGCGCAGCATCATAAAGCACCTTGAGTTTTGCTAGCTTGGTAACGAAGAGATAAATGTCATGCAGAGGCTGCTCCAAAAAGTGGACTTTCAGAGATCCGACATTTAGAGAAAAAGTGGAGTTAAAGCCCAAGGTCGAGGTTTCTGCGGTATCAAGAGTTTGATAACGGAATTCCGCAAAGTTTTTGCCTTCGATCGACAATATCTGTTTGAATTGCGGCCTGGCAAGTTCCTTTGAGCGATCGTCACTTAACGCAAGGCTTCCTAAGCGACCCGTGATTCCCATCGTGTTCGCACGGAGGAGTAACTGGACGTCTGCTGTAGATAAAGAAAGAGTGGCCAAGCTATCGAGGTCGTTGAGGAGTAGAACTACATGTGGCTGTGAGGGCGCTGCTGGTGGATCTGAATAAAAGACAGACCTTGCACACTATCAAGTCTGACAGATACTCTGATGGTTCCCGTGTCGTTAGCAGGCGGAGCTAACCCCTCTTCATCTGAGATAACGATCGCACTTGGAGTTGTGTTCGCAGGCTGCTCTGGGCTTTGAGGAACAAACGTCGTCATGATGAAGTCATAAAGTGACACAACTGGTTCTGGTGCAGCGTGGAATATAAACGTGGATAGTTGGACATCAACACTTTGGTCGATGCTTTCGTAGACGGTTACAAATTCGGGTGAATTCTTCTGGACTCGTTTGTACGATATCTTCATGAGATCTTTAATGACTGAACCTGTGCTTTCTGAAGACATCAGTTGAATGGGATCTCCGGCGGCTTGCACGACGTTCATTGCCAGTGATCTGGAATACGTGTTATTGACTCGAGCTCAGAAAGGTTTGTACGCCGTACCTCAAATTGATATCCACATTCATATTGAATTTGAGAAGAGAGAACGCGAGTCGGAACTGCTGGAAGATGACTTCCCCAAGTGGTTTCTCATTACCGTCGTTACTAGACTTTGAGATAGCCCCACGAAGGGTATCAACTTCAAAATCAAGCTCAAAGATGTGTTGTCGGATTTCAGGATGCTAAAAAAAGGTAAAAATACGGGACATGGAGGACGAACATGATCTACCTCGAGCGAGCCATCGCTTGCTTCAAAGAACAAATCATCTCTGTGTGTCGATGCGGATTCGCTGTCGACACCATCATGATCATCTACATTGTATTCTGTGTCAACAGGTCCAAACAGACCACCTGACAAAGGCAACACAAGTGGTGCAGTGTCGATGTGCATCTGGGGAGGTTTCTGGTCGCCGCCTTCATCAAAGTTTGGAATCGCAACATCTATAATGCGCATTAAAGACTTGTACTTGGCGTCGGAAATGTTCACTTGAAGACTGGGCAATTTTCCGGAAATTTTGAATCGAGCGAGATTAACAGCGGACGGTACAATGGAGTTTTGCACCAGCAAATTGATGTTTATGCGTTCCAGTAGATGGAGTGTGTCGCTCTTCTCAGAAGTGAGAGCATTACGACAAGCTTGCAGGTCGTTGCCCAAGACAAACTGAACGATAACATTAGACTTATTTATGCCATCCTGGCGTGGACTAACCTGAGCTGCCTGAAGTTTGAGCAACATCTTATCATACATTAGGGACTCCAATCTCTTGTAGTCGTCCTCGTTGTACGGCTGGTTCCGTTTTGCATGTATCTCTCGCAGAGCACCTTTATCGGCCAAATCGCTCTCGACAGCTATGTGGCCAGCATCGATGACGAGATGACTGCATTGGTGCGTGGTGACGCTAAAGTAACAAGTCAGTTTGGTAACTTCGATACTACGGGTTCGGAGAACGCACTCTTCTGGAATGATGATGATGGGTGAGTTCATATCCAGTTGAAGATCAATGGTTTTATGAGTTTGCAAGGCATACTCTAAACCAGCCCGAGTCTCCTTTCGTAAGCCCTCTAGTGTCTGGCTTGCTACGTTCTTGGAGTGAAAGTATGAGATCTTTTTGTCTGAGCAATCCCAAAGAGCACCTACTAATAAAGCTTCAACCGATTCCAACTGACTCTCGGGTGGGCGAAAGAACTTGAAAATGGCTTCGACATACCCCCTGTGATAAATTATTTCCATGTGACGCATGCGGGCTGTGAGGGCAGTGTCGGCACGTTCATCGAGAGGATTGCTCTCAAATTTCACGAAGAAAAACGGATCTTCAGCTTCCCCGTGCTCAATAGCCTTGGCACCTTCTGGGGTCTTGACTCGAACTATCTGTCGATGCAGTGTATTCTTGGTCGTCCCATCAAAAACACTAAATCCTCTCAAGGATACAGATGCCTCAAAATTGTCCGGTCTTTGGATGATTTCGGCACGAAACGAGTCGAAGACCGTGGAGATAACTTCGGTAGCTTTCCCGCTCGGATCCACCTTTAGTGCAAATGACCCCTTCTTGAGTTCCGCAACCACTCGAGCCTTGAGGGCATCTCGGGGCGCCTCGAACGAGTCGACAATGGCCGATTTCTCATCGTAATCAAGCACGTCATAGAGCTGCCTGCGTTGCTCCTCTGTCATTTCACCTCCAAAAGCGGGGTCGTCTTTCGGCTGATCTGCCTGAGACCCCCAGAGCCAGGATAGCCAACCACCAGACTGTTGTTGCTGTTGTGTAGCACGGTCTTCCTCAAGCCTTTTCCTTTGCTCCATGTCCTTTCGTAGACGGGAACGGGCAATTGACCTGTAGAAGCGGATGTCCTCGTATGACAACTTACATTCCAATGCATTGAGCAACGCAGTGTCCTGAAAAGCATAATCGTACATTTCATAGCGTGGAACAAAACAAAACGTACGGATTCGCGTAATGAATTCACCGTCTTCTTCTCGAATAACTCGACATATTTGTTACGGTCGTCTCGACGTTCCGCAAAGTATGCCCAAGTCCATTTACGACGTCGGTCGTGCACACCATCTAAAATCGCCCGGGAAGCAAAGCGTAGCAATGCCCTTGCGCGGTTTGCTTTGAACTCCTCGTCGCTTGGGCGAAGTTTCCTGTACTGGGTGGAGAACACACGATTAATATCAACATCGCCTAGTTCAAAATGTTTTTACCTGATGCTGACGGAGATATACGTGATACATGTCAGCCAAAGATATGGCATCTCGATATTGGTTGTCATCAAAGGCGATACCGATCTGATCAAACAGCAACTGTACGTCGAAGTGTGGTGTGTTCTTATCAAGTTTGTGATTCATAACAATCTGATGGACAATCATATATTGAACGCGCCTAGTAGCTGTTGGCAACTTACTCTTCCCTCACCCGATACCGGGCTGAGAATGAATTGATGGGAGGACTGGTGATCCTTTTGTGATATCTAGCTAGGAGGTCAAATCTGATGGTGTGAAATAAAATCAAACTAACCATGGCAATAAACTTCTCTTTGGCTGCAGACAGGGGCAGCCCTGCCATACTTTGCGAGTCTGTATCAAAATATACCGCTAGTGACTCCAGCCTAGCCAACTAAAAGAATCCAAGCTCAGTTGTGCCACCCTTCACTTCATCTAGCTGCCTACCTTGTGTATTGCACCGGCGGTACTTTCTATGAAAGCCGGTTGCCATTCCTCGTTGACCGACACCGCTGTGAAACCTGCCAACGTGATGCCCGCGGCGAAAGGATGCTAATATTGTATGTCATATAATGATTTCCGAGGTGCGTGTGTCCTACATACGCCAGGAACGCTCATATTGTCTTCGTACCGTATGTGAATGTTCTTTACGGTCACCTGCAAGTTGTTGATTATCTTAGCCGTTAATGAAGCCCAGAGACCCTGCGACTGCGGAGATTCCTCTGGAACAGTGATTGTCATCTGATGGTCATACCATACCAATGTAGCAATAGCAAACCTAAGGAAACTCCCACTTGACCACGCATATGCAAAAGTTCTGCATTCTCCAACCGCTCAAGTTTGGCGGCCTGTGCTCGCTGTGCTTCCTCCTCCGGATCTATGTTTGTTTGCGGAGATGGTACAACAAGCAGATACACATCTTCAATCAATATCTCGACAGGCTGGTTGCCAAGGTTCATCCAATGGAGAGACAGCGTGAATGTCCCGAGGTGGCCTGAAGAGAGGCCTGGGTGAGCTCACGCAATGCCATTGACGTGTGATAGTACCTTCGAGAACATCGACTGGGAGTCTGAATTTATCCAAGGCGCCCTTCTTGAGGCGTAAGTTGCGTAGCGTTAATTGACCTGGAGTTGGATCAAAATCGCCATATGGACGAGCGACAAGTCAACGCTACCTTGCCCAATACCGTAGTTCACTTGATTCATATCAAGGTTCTCGACATACGGGGCGAGTATCCTATTGAACAACTAGACGAGACACAATTATATTCAAGGATATGTGGAGCTGGAATTTCTTGATGACGCACCACATTCAAGACTTCTTTTCCGGGGTCCAACCACCACATTGTGGGGATGGTTGATGGTATCGAGTTATACTGATATCGGATTAAAATACACCTGAATTTTTCTGTAGTTGGACCTGAGTTACTAGTGAGAGATGGAGGTCGTTTTGTGGCAGACTTCACCGCGCGGAACGAAGAGGGTAGGGGGCACACTTACTAAATTTGGAGAATATTACATCAACTCATTAAACGCGGCCGGAGAATGGAAGTAAATATCGGAGTTAAACCGGGTTAGGCCGGTCATAGGATGTGTATGTATATATACATACCTCCTGAAATGTGTACGATAGTGCACCTCGAGGCTGAGGTTATTCCTTTCGAAGATAATTTATCGGATCATTCCAACTATCTTCTCACATTTAAGTGATAGTCCATTTATGCCGTTGGTTCCGTTCAATCCCGCTAGTCCGGGTCTATCCGCGTGACCTCTGAATGCTACTTAGTATATTTGAGGGTCGTGTGAGCACTTGTTCCTCGTCTCCCTTTCAACACCCAACCTCTCTCTGCAAGCATATAAAAGTGTATCATGGTGTCTGTCGTTCCCAGATCCTTCTCTATGCCTTCTCCGACTGCCAAGCAGGAGCTGCAGCTGAATGAGGTCAGTCATCGTTAGATTCAAGGTCCTTCCGCGGTACTTATTCGGCGTCCTTTGTGTTAAGTTGGGCAGCCTTACCGATGCTGTGGAGCCATTCGCAAGGTATTATTCGTTGATTTTATCTTATTTTGGCCGCTCATGCAAAGAATCAATGCGATCTTACTCAGGCTCCTAAGCCAGACTGGTCGTTCCGTGAGGCTGCATTGTTCTGTGCCCATGTGGTCATCTCCTTCTGATACATGTATGTGGTTCGCATTTATGAATTCAAAGTTGTTTGACCCACTCGAAAAATAGGCCTTGATTTACACGACCTTCACGACTTACGCTCACGAGTTCTTCTTTTCGTTCATGATCTCTTAGAGTCTTTGCATTCAGCGGGGGTTGGTCACCGCGTTTGACCTGTATCACATTTCTAACAGATGTACCAGATTTCCGCATCCTATCGACTTGCTCCCTCAAACTCTTCTCTCTGTTTCATCTGTGCATTGCCGACTGAGCTCAGTGCCCCAAAGGTGAGGTCAGCTGCAGTCGAAATTCTGCAGAATGCGAATATACATGCAAGGTATGGCAAATTTGAATATTTAAAGTCGTATCTCACCACAACGCAGGGAGAAGGTTTTATTGGCTGACCTGGAGTGCGGCCCCGCATTGATCATTTCCTAATCCCTGTAACTTTTATGAGAACATCAAAACATCGTATAATATACATCTACACCCTTTGCATTGTTATCTGTACCATTAAATGAAGCAATCTCATATTTTGCAACAATCTTGAATGTTGGGTTCTACCTTCCAAGGATGGAAAGCTTGGTTCAAACTAGCTGGTCTGGCTGAACGTTCCTGGTTCGTCTCTAGGCCAGGTTCCTCCATTGGAACTTGCTCTGCCATGGCAATCTGAGAAGAAATGTGACAGATGTCACAACTCGGGATTGTTGTATGTAAACCCACTAACTTAACCTTTCACGCAATTTTTCAACTTTAGTTCTTGACTTGTTTCCACGTCTGCCATGACTTTTTTCGCTGACTTCCTCCTCACCGTCGTCCCAAAGGACTCTATACCTATATATCTTAAAACCTACATCCCAGGCGAGACGCCCTTGTCGACATGGCCCGTCGTCACCACAGCCCTTGCGTCGTACCTCGCTGTAATATTTGGTATTCGTGAAATCATGAAGGATAGATCTCCACAGCGGCTCAACACCCTCTTTCGCATACACAACGCTTTCCTCAGTATTGGAAGCCTCATCCTTCTTGTCCTTATGATGGAAGAAGTTGGTTCGATATGGCTCACAAATACGACCTACGGCACAATGTGTGATGAGACCTCATGGACGGAGGTAGGTTTTGACACGTTTATCGAATATCTATCTTTTGAGACTCATCCATCATCCCAGAGGCTGGAATTTTATTACATGATCAACTATTACTTCAAGTATATCGAACTTTTTGACACGGTGTTCCTCGCTCTCAAAAAGAAACCTCTTGGTATGCGTTGCCATATCGTTCGTGGCATTCACGCGCTGACCGGCCATTTTTTAGCTTTCCTTCATGTATTTCATCATTCCGCAACTGCTCTGTTATGCTTTGTGCAACTTAACGGCAAAACAAGTGTGGTATGTCCACGTTGACATCTGCCAGCCGTTGCTTGACCTCTCCAATTTTAGTCATGGGTTGTGATCTCTCTGAACCTAGCAGTTCACGTCATCATGTGTAAGATCTCTGTTCGCTGCAACATGTATGTGCTCATTGGACTACGAAGATTATTACTACTTTGCGACTGCTGGTGGTGCCAAAATATGGGTATGTATGCGCTGTACAATGTTCACGCATGTTTCACTGAGACATGCCTCGATTAGTGGAAGAAATACCTCACGTCCATGCAGATCATTCAGTTCGTCATCGACATCGTCATTGTTTACTTCGGCAGTAAGTCTATCGATCTATAGCTCGATATCAATGCTAAATCCGGCCTAAGCCTACCAACATTACGCAGCTACTCACTACCATCACCTCCCTCACTGGTCGAATTGTGCCGGCACTGAAACTGCTGCTCTCTTCGGATGTGGTCTTCTCACCACTTACCTTGGCTTGTTCATCAACTTTTACATCCAGACGTACAAGAAATCCGCCAAGGGAAAGAAGCCTACAGCCAACGGTATTGCCAATGGTCATGCGCACAATGGAAACAGGTGCGCAAATCCTCCCTCTTACCGTACTGCACGTTGATGTTCAAGTTTTTGATAGCTATAAAAAGGACTGAGCACGCAATTCACAGCTTCATGACGATATGGCCATGCCAGCGATTACCTATACTTATCTAGCATCATGCAAGACACTAATATACAGAATGCATCAACGAGTTCACCTCCAGTTCACCTGTCCAATCTTTTCATACAGCCTGTCGTTCTTTGTGTCTATTTAGCTACTCCCCGTCGCCTTATTTTTTCATGGTCGAGTATTTCTTTTGCATATCTCTTTCCTTTCGGATTTTGCTTTCGTTGCGGGCATGCATGTTAGTATACGGGTGTGCTTGGAGCTGTGTTGGAACGCAAAAGACATTTCACGAACAAGAGTACCGTAGTAATACCCAAACGAAATGTCACTACTCCTCCATGATACTATCTTAGAGTGATTTGTTTTGCCTCGCGTTTTTATTGCAAAGTTATGTCCCTCCATTTGCACTGTCTACTGCATAATCATCTTGCTGTGCCGTAAGGATTGGCTGCGGTCATTCCTTGATCATCGATGCATCATCCGACGCTTAGTCTCACTCTGTCACTACGTATATCATTGATTGGCTTTTCTTACTTCCAAGCTTGTACCAAAGACTACAGTCAATTATCAGCTATCTAGGTTGACTTGTATTTTGCAGCTCCGAAAAAATTGCCCCAGGTTACTTCCTATTAGTGAATTCCTGAGAACTGTGACTATAACTTGTTCACCAGCTCTGATACACACGAATATCTTTATTTCTTCCCATCATCACTATCTCTGCATTAACTTATACACCACGAGGAGTGTACATACATTGCGGTGCAGGGAGACATTCATCCCGTAAAGCGCAGTGAGTCAGTTTGCAACGGTTGTCTTGAATGATTTCAAGGCCGACGACAGGGACTGCCTTACCAACGAAACTCAGCCAATCGTGCTGTGCGGCTTAGAAGTCTGTCTAATGTCTGAAATATCAGACTCAACGCAGTCCACTGGGACCTCCGGTTGCCCTCGAGAGTTCTTGGTGTCTGTAGAATTGTATGTCCCCACCGTGGCAAGTTTTGGACTTCGGAAGGTGAGTCTCATGCACATGTCTTACTTGATACATCTAACTGCTCGCAGCCAGTGGTCTCTCGCCGTAAAGCTGACACTAGCAAGACGGAGGAAACCCCTAGGTCGCTCAAAGGTGAGAATACTTCTATTCTGCCACACAACTATTTATGCGTTTTCAGAAAAGTCTAGCTGGATATCGGTCAGTCGGAGTCCCGCAAGCGCTGGACAGTGGCGACCTGCAACATGTAAGCTCATGGACGAGGACGAGAGTTGTTCCCTCAACATCTATGTCGACGTGGGTCTCAGGAGACAGGAGTCTTACCATCTTCTGAATGCCTCCACAGGAGACTATTCTGTACCAGACCATATACATACATATGCTCAACCAGTTCGACATCCGGCATGCTGACTCTTCCTTATTTCTTCGCAAGAATTGTCTTGCGCTTGCATCTGCTGGGCAAGTTATTTCTTATCCTGTTTGTAGCACTGCTAATGAGACTGCTATCAAAGAGGGCAGCGGTGGGGCTCCCCAACTAATACAGAGCCTATCTATTTCCAATTTGAAGACGCCGATACGTGCAATACTTGGCTGGTCCTGTTACGATCATATTCTAAACCGGAGATATATGGCCAAACCTTCGGTTCACGGGATGGCGGGCTCTACCGCATGTGGCGCCAGGTAGAGCTGTCAATTTTGCAAGGACGTAACCTAGGGAATCACTTCAAGGCCCAATTAGACACGAATGCTAGCTCTGCTATACTGAGCGAAGGCGACCCGCGAGAGGCAGACCCCATCGATTTGGATGCTTTTTGCGAAATCCATCTCAACGACAACATATGTGCTCGTACGACAGTCAAGAAGGGGATTGGCTCTCCCGACTGGCTTGAAAATTTCTCATTTCCGGACTTGCCACCTTTTGAGACCCTCGAGGTCACAGTTTGGAGAGAGAAGAGGCTTCTGAAACCCGTGTTACTTGGCTCGGTCCGCATTGCACTGACGAACTTTCGCCGAAGTGAAGCGGTAGAAGGATGGTTTCCGGTCATACAAGCTGGCGGAGTGAGCAATAGTATCCAAGTTGGGGAAATACGAATGAAACTTACCGTTGACGAGTGAGTGTTCGTATATTCGCAGACTCGCGCAGACTTGAATTTGTTTAAGGGAAATAATATTACCTCATAATAGTTACTCGGGTCTTCTGACCGTAAGTCGTCTCAGACACCGCTGTTGACATGTAGTTGTATTTGGTTGCCAGGTACTGCGCGATAGGAATGTCCTAGAGTGGATGAGTGACTTCGAGCGCAGGCTCCACTTGCGGACTACTTCTTATCAGTTGATGTGCATCGCAATTGCCAAGAACATCCTTGTTGAGCATATCACGGAATATGCCGATCGTGAAGTTGATGGTACACCTAGCTGTCAGTGAGCCATCATCATGTGCCATGAATCACCTTACTGACAACTTTTGCAGCTCACAATACCATTTTCCGCGGGAATACCACTTTCACAAAGACGATGGAGCTGGCAATGGCGTTTTATGGGAAAGCATTTCTTGAGTCCAGCATCGGATGCACCATTCGGCGCATTTGCTCTGAAAAAATTGCTATCGAGGTTGATCCTGTGAGGAGCGGCAAAGGTGCAAAAGAGGTTGAACGTGGCGTAGATCAACTGATACATTGGAGCCAAGAGGTGTGGAACCAGATATATGCTGTAAGGGGCCAGTGTCCGAAGTGAGTACTATGTTATTCTGGTCTGACTAAGACTGAGTCAAATTTAGCGAGTTGCGACGTTTGTTCGAACACGTGAGAAAGCTCGTTGAGAAACATTATCACACGAAAGATTCGCAAGACCCTCATAACCGGGAACTCCCCTGGCAAAGCGTTTCCGCCTTCTGCTTCTTAAGATTTATTGTCCCTGGCATCTTGAACCCTCATCTGTTTGGGTTATACCCAGGTATTGAATATTCCCATCGTGTCTCCCTTAAACTGATCGACCCCAGGTCTTCCCAGTGCCCGCATTCAACGCAGTCTCACACTCATCGCCAAGGTCATTCAAAGTCTTGCGAATCTTAATCCCGTGAGATGCATCCCTTTCTTGTTCTCACTGTTGCTCATCGCCCCTCGAGCAGAATGTACAGAAGGAGGAGTTCATGCGCGGGATAAAGGACTTCCTCAAGCAGAATCTACCTGCAATGGTAGATTACATCCTGGTCGTTTCGACTCCTATTCCGCTAGATCCATGTAGTCCACACTCTGGTCACCCAGCTCACAGCCACCAACGGCTTAATGTGGTCAGTTCATTGCATGAGAGAAGTACTACGATGCCCGTCCTAGAAAGAGAGTCGATTCCGTTGCTACCTCATGTGCTTGATATTCCAAGGCATTTAGCTCGTATCACTTCCTCGGTTCTTCGAAGTGCACGGTCCGCTGACCCAAAGGACAAATCCTCCGAAGGAGACAATCAACATCTGTCAGGTCTTTGTGCTCAATGCTTCGACCTGGAGGACCAGAGTCTGACTCGCGTCAGCCAGTTAGCCGGTGTGGAATCATGTCCTGTTGCTCTTAAATGGGACGCACCTCGAATAACATCCACAGTGTCTTCCGCCGCTCCTTCATCCCCGGCCTCGCCCTCGAAAATGGTTGAGTCGCGGAACGTGTCAAGGCCGTATACCGCACCATCACTGTCTGATTTGTCTGAAGTAGATCACCGAAAAGCATCATCCGGCGACATGACACCTTCAAGTCCCGTCCCCCATCATCTGTCCAGTCTACGTAGAGGTTCTGTTCCTGATATTCCTTCAAGCCCAAAGGTCGCCTCATCTCCTGAAGAGCGATCTACACGGGCAATAAACCGTCCGCGTTTTCTGCGACCTAAATCAATATCAGCTGACTCGATCTCGTCACTCGCATCCCCTGCAAGTGCACAATCTCTACGTAGTCCACCTGAGTTTCAAGATCTTGAAGCTAGCAGGAAGAGAAAGAACGTGCTGCAGGGTCTACTTACGAAACGATAAGTGGCCATCATATTTATTGTCTTTTTTTGTTTCCTCCTATTATATTACGTTTTGCGTACTGTATGAATCAGATGTACAATCCTTGAATCCTCGAGGGAAATCGAGCCACACAAATGTCCACCGATGCATGTGTAATTAAGAAGAATCCAATCTTAGCAATTTTTCAATCAGCCTAAGCACTTCCGCGGCTACATCCTCAGAAGTGCTGCGGACTGTTAGTCGGCACAACTAGTTCACGTCAGTCTACGAGATCATAGGAGCCGGTAAAGACTCACCTTTGCCTCGCGATTTGGTTCTAAGCGAAGCAAACAACCAACCTTGCCATCAACCGATGTATGCAAAACTCCAGCTGCCACTAGATTGTTTGGGTTGGGATCAACATCTCCCAATATCTCCAGATGGTTTCCTGAAACCACTTGACGGTACCGTACAAGATCAAGCTGACCAGTACCATCAAGTGTAATAGGAAAAACTGCCTGTGCCTCACGTGGAGCACCACCGATGACCTTCCAGCGCTCGAAGAAGTCAGCTTGCCCCAGCTTGACACCCTCGATGAACTTCGTAACGCTGATCGGCAGTCGAATTGATACGGACTGATGCGCGCCAGCTAAAAAGGACACTGTGAGGATGGGGAAGGAGCTGAACGCCTTTTTACATTCAACATGTAGAAGTTGTTGGCTTTGTGTACGAGGAACGAGAATATTCGGTGGGATTTTAGCAAACGTAGCCGACAAAGCCTCTGAATCATTGACATGGATGGTGGAGGTGAATGATGTCAATGGTACTGATATTTTATTTCCCAAATAGATGGCTAGTTGGCCAAGGTGTCCCTGGTACCTTGATTTGATACCGATTTGGATCTGTACATCCTCGTAGAGGACGCCATCCGCGCTGTAGATGAGCTTGTTAAACCACTTTTCAACGCTGGGTCCGACAGCGACTCGAGGGGCGACCACGGAGCTGTCCACGCGGGATAGGTCTGACTGTTCACCTGGGCTAGATAAATTCAATCCTGCCAAAGAGCTCATGACGTCTTGTGCATCTGTATTGCCAGTGACAGTAGTTGTCCCAGTGGCAGATGATCCTGGTCCTAGCGTCGCTTTCCGTGAATTTGCGTGTCGCTCGAGGTTCATTTCCTTTCCTCCGTGTATCCAGGTCCTCTTGTCCTCTGTATCTCCTAGTTTACGGTTGAGTCTACCAATCAGAGCACTGACGCGAGGAGGGAACGGTGGCATCTCCTCGCAAACGTTCTGCAACACTTCATCGTCATCAGGTCTAGATGCTAGCGAGTAGAATTCACAGGCCCGCTGCTGGAGCTCTGCGTCCAGAACATGTCTATATCGTTCAAAGATGTTGATGAGCTGAGGCTTTATCTCGGGAAAGACATTAACCCATTTGATGTACGTCGATAGGAGAAGGGAGCGAGTGGAAGCGACACAGAATTGAGATTTAGAGTGAAGGACCTGGAATTGTTCAAGAGGACTGTAACCAGTGTCATTCGCGATGAGATGTCCATATTCTCCCAGGATGTATCCTGTGCGGTCACAAGTCACTAAACTGAATTCGAACGTGAGTTTGTCTTACCTCCAACCTTGACAAGGCTTTCATGTGTGGACGGGGATTTCAGGTGCTCGAAGACGACTTTTGCAGCATATTCCTGCAGATCCTCGGTATTTGTAACTATCTGCACGACACGGTACCAGACTTCATCCCCGACATGATCACCAGCAGCGCTGATGAGCTGCAGGATCGTATCGACATACCATTTGTATGAGTTTGCGTACTTCTCCGTCAAGATAGCAATTTTGAGCACCATCTCCTCCCGCAGAGCATAATCTGCAACTTTGAGGTAGCGTAGCAACTCCCCGACAATCAGCTCTGAATTGTCTGTATCGCACATGCTGTATAGCAAGTCAAGAGCGCGCCTTCGCACGGAGATATCCTTGTCGCGAAGAGATAGGATAATGGTGCCTTGGTGCTTCTTAAGGGGCTCCAGAGAATCGGCACGAGCAGCAAGATGAGCCATGGTGTCCAGACCAAGATATCGTACGTTTGTCTCCTTTGAGGATATGAACCGAGCCAACAGAACTGCAGAGGTTCCCACAAGGGGCGAACTTGCGTCTAAATGAATCGCAAGGCTGATTGCTTCGAAGAGCACGGCATGTTGCGCATTGTTATGTTGAACGTTCCTCGAGGGTTCTGCACTGTTATTCATGATTGTTTGTAGTACCTCATGGAGTACAGATCGTAAAGTAGCGTCCTCTAAAAGCAGTAATGTGAGGGAAGTTATGGTTGCTGAAACACGCACATACCAGAAGGAGCATAATACTGCAACAAACGGAGTAGTTTGACTTGTAGCCATGGCGAGGGGACTTTATAATATGCGTATGTGGCAGAATACTCGCCCTCTATGACTAACTGGGGATACTGAGCCACAATGGATCCCAGCTTTGATGACACACACTTACTCGGTGTAGGCGATCCACAGCTTTAGTGTAGCAAACAGCGTAGGCATCGAGGTGGTCTTGGGCCAGAGCCATGATTAAGCTGGTAACGCATATTACGACACCCTACAAAGTGTTTCAACACTGAACGCCAGTATGAATAACAACCTACTAGATCTTGGTCGTCCATGATAGATACTAGACGCAAAGCCCATTCAGCGGCAGGTATTACAGTGGGATGTTTGCGGTAGAGTCGCAGTAGCGTTAGAGCAGCTTTTTTCTTGACAAAAGTTTGCGACGTTCTGCAAGTACAAATGAGTTTTCATGTACTTGAATTGTAGACAGTAAGTTGGTTACTCACGGGGATATCAGAAGCCTATGCACATCTTCTGACAGCGCCTCTGCCATCTCGCTGCTACCCACATTTGCTATGGCATGCAAGGCAAGGCAATTGCTGACCTCATTATTCTCATCCAAGTCCTTCCGAATGGAGTTGACAACCAATCGAAGGAAATCCGAGTTCTCGTGCATCAGCAGAGTAACAGCAAGGTAACCCTACGTGTGCCCTATCAATGATATATCCGATGAAATTGTTCATTAACCTCACTATCTGTTTCTCACTGTACTTGGAACTTGATATGAGGTTAACGGCTTCCATGTGTCCCACATCGACCTTGTACCCAAGTATATACGTGAAGATGATCTTCGCGACATATCTGTACCATTGTTAAAGATGTGCGTGACTTTGCCAGTGATGTACTCACTTCTTCTTCTGATACCCGTCCAAATTTCCGTCTGCAGCGTGACATGAGCACCAAGTTGAACGAGTAACTAGGATGCATTAAACCTTTAAATTTCTTTCGGATATTCGCCATCTCCTTGTTGATACGCTTCTCTTCCAGTTCACGCACCCTCGCACCTCGGATATCCGCGATAAACTAAGAGAATATGATCAAACGGTTGACATGACTTTGGAGGGACGCACCTGGGTCAGCCCCCGCATATTGGCCGCCATCTTTCGTAGATGCTTCTGGAAAGCAGCTAGTAGAAGAAATTAATAGGTAGAACAAGCTGGGCTCTTTTGACGACAGAGTAACTCTGCACGGCGAGAAAATAGAGATGCGTCCGCGTACTCGACGCTTAGTGACAAGCCGCGCTGCGTTTAGGTCACCAGTGACGGTACTCACAAGTACTACATGGGAAACATCTTGAATTTCGAATAAGTGCTGTTACTTACGTTATCTTGTCTTCTTAGACTTGCACGACTCTAGCGCATGCAGAGCAAGCACTGTTTCGATAGTATTATGCAATGCAAGGATACATTATATTAGGGATGTTGAGCGTACAGAAAATGCGTAAATGAGGAGGGATAAATCTAGAAGTGCAATCAGACAAGGACACAATGATGATGATGATATATAGTAGGGTCTAGAATCTGCGTGAAGCAGACGAACGATAACTAGATGTACCAGACCTTGAATTGTAGGCTGACCCCACACCATACGATGTGGAGAACTCAGACCTGGATTCAAAGGGGAGAAATCGTGTGTAGGATGGGCTGGGAGAAGCCACGGGAGTCGCGGTGCGAGGTTTGGACCAGGATTGATATGCAATGCGCTCGTCGCTGTAGCGGTTGAGAATCCGTACTATGTCTGTGGTCATGAAATCTAGTTCTTTGATCTCTGTAGCAGAGAGGGTGTAGTCTTTGTTGAGTGTGCCTTCATCCTCACATTCGCTCTCGTTTTCCTCCGGAGCCGAAATCTGGAGAGTCAGTGCTTGACGTCTCTTTCGTCGAGCCATCACAATACCCTCGAATACTCGAAGCATACAAGACTCCATGACGGTCTTCAAACATTGGATGTCATCCAATACATTGACATTACCGACGATTGGCAGCCAGCCATCACACTCCAGTCCTCGTTCAGTGACTTGGATCTCGTAGGCGCCAAAGAGCATGTACGTCATAGGGTCCAGGCGGGTCGTGGTGATTAGATACGTTTGAGGACTGGAGCCGACCATCGACAAATTCTGTCGTTTTTCAGAAAAAGCGTAAAGCTGTTTTTCCATGACCTGGTCATTCCCAACGGCGTGCCTGCGATGATTTACACTGCCCGGATGTATAAAGGTCGCCTGCATATAATTAGCCTATGAAGCGAGAGGTGAATGTACTGCACGAAGCTTACCTTGTCCATCTGAGTGCGGTAAGTCATCTCGCCGGTCCTAACAGCATACTTTGGCTGGGAAGCTATTGCTATCAGAGCAGCCAGGAGAGGAAGGGATTTGCCATTGACGTTCAGATCAGGTGGTACGGTCAACTCCCGACTTCTAGGCTCAATTGATGCGACGTTGCCACCCGCAGAAACGTCAATGACTCCTGCTTGGTACAGAGACTGCATTAAGTGCCCGCGGATCTTGGTAATCAAAAGTAGCGTTGGCTTCGAGAGGAAGTTGTTGTTACAGAAGCGATTGGCCGCCATATACTCGCCGCGACGCTGCATCTCGTTCCATGCGTTATAAGCATTCAATATGGTGAGCGGATCTGACCTGAACCCGCTGGGCGACCACTTGTTCTTAGCAGCAGCAGCCTCAGCCTTCAGGTGCATAGGGGAGAAAAACGGATCCCGATTGGTCAGAATGGCAGCGAGAGTAAGAGCCTGATCGAGACACCGGAAAAAGCTTCCGTAAAGGACGAGCCTTCCCACTTGGACCTCCACAGGTAGTTGTAGTAGAACCTTTCCCAGTGACGTGAGGTTCTTGTCTTGATCCAGCGCACCTACCATCTGTAGGTTCGTCATGGCAGCGGCGACACGGTCGGGCTCAGGGGGTTCAATAGCGGCAGCGAGAACTTCTTCAATGACCATCCCGGGGAAACTGAGAGCCTTGACGTGCATGACGACATTGCTTAGGTCGACGCGTTTCATTTCCACGGTTGGATGAGGATGAAGGTTGGCTGCGCGAGCCTTACTGAGAATGCCGAAATACTCTCCGGGCCGGTGTCTACCCGCCCGCCCTGCTCTTTGGTTCAGGTTGGAAGACCCAACCCATGCGGAGATGAGGGACGACATGTGTCGGTCGGGATCATATCGCTGTTCCTTGATCCTTGCAGCGTCAACGACATAGACAACGTCTGGAATTGTTATGGAGGTCTCCGCAATATTAGTAGCCAGGATGATTCTACGAACGCCCTCTGGAGGGGGCTCAAAAATGACTTGCTGTTCGGCGAGAGGAATGGTAGAGTGGAGGAGGTGAATGCTGTACTTTGAGGGATTGTTGAAATTGATATCCATACTTCCACCAAGAAGAATTTTCTGAACTGCAGACATCTCGTCCCACCCAGGCAGGAAGACTAATACATGTCCTGAGTTAGACCGCTGCAAGACATATGAAATGCTAGCTGCCACCAAGGGACATGGTAGATCTAACTCTTCGTCTCTACCGCCCAGCACGCGGGAGTCTCCCTCTGTCATTGAGCGCTCACAAGACCGCGCATAAGCTTCCTCACGAGCGAGGTATTTAGAGACCAAGTCATCTTGGAACACCCAGTTTAATGCGCCATGGTTTCTCAGCGTAGGGATGAAATCATCCATGAAGTGTTTTGTAACGGGATACGTGCGGCCTGGGATCTCGATTACTTTTGCCGGTTGGCCTCGCTCGTCAGGGAAGTATTCTTGAAACAGCGTAGGATCAATAGTGGCACTCATGAGGACGATCTTTAGTGGGATATTCCGAGCCTTGCGATCATCCATGAGGCGCTTGAGAACAACGAGGAGGAGGTCGGTATCAACATCCCGCTCGTGGACTTCATCGACAATGATGTGTGTCACCTCGTCCATCCTGGCAGCCGATAGCCCGCCTTCAGCCATGGCAGACTGAAGTTTTTTGAGTAGCACCCCCGTGGTGCAGAAAGTGACGGAGCCATGCTCTTCTGGCAATTTCGACTCGAAACGGACACTGTAGCCAATCGATCCTTCACCAACAACTTCCCCTCTCTCCTTGGCAACACGGTTAGCTACACTGAGCGCAGCCAGCCGACGAGGCTGAGTGCAAATGAGGTTGCAGCGAGCACCCTCACCCCTGTCAATATGGTCATCCAGGAGTAGCTGTGGTATCTGCGTGGTTTTGCCTGAACCCGTCGCAGCCATGCAAATTGTGACATCATTCTCACGTATGTGTGACACGAGCTCCTCCGATCGAGCATAGATGGGCAACGCAGCTCTTGTGTTTCGCATCTTTTCCATCGCTGGATCCGTAATGTATTTTTTTCTTCGTTCCCTGAGTTCTTCCGACTTTTGGGTCAATAAACCCTGAGGAAACCTGCGGGTATAGAACGGTCGTGGGGCAGGAACAGGGACAGGTTGAGATCTTGGAGTGTCTGAGCTGGACCCAATGACGGGCCTGTTCCTGTATAGAGTGCTCTTTTTGATATCGCCATTTAGCTTGTGTATCTCTTCCTCGAGTTTTGTGCTGATCTGGAAGTAAACCTTCGGGGCTAGACCAAGGTCCTTTCCAGTTTTGGACGCCTCCACGAAAGTCTTCCATAGGTCGGGATCACATTGCTGCAGATACTGCACGACGTCCAAGTAGCACTGTATCTGGGCTGCTTTCTTGGTTGCGCTGGAGCCCAGGCCGATCTTTTTGTCACCCACAATCATAACGGCTGCCCAAGTCGACTTCGCGCGCCCCTGACGCTGTTCTTCCAGCTCGATGTCCGGCTTGCTAAATCCATATCTGCGGCAGTAGTAGTCCATAAAGCTTCGTGCGCGCTCGTAGTCAACGACTGAACCATCGCTCAGTTCGATTACTTGTGGAGCAGAACTCGAGGATACTGAGGGCTTGGGCTTGTCAAGCTGACCGCATTCATTAGAACCAGCTGAGTTGTTTGCAATTTGTGACACGTACCTGACCTGTATCATGAAGTTGATAGAGAGCTGAAAGCGCTGCGAGCCGCTCAGCATCTCTCCTTACTCTGTGGTCACCAATGCCAAGCACTGGAGGAGTCGTATCGAGGGTAACGGTCACCCTTCATACAGCTATAAGCACAAGCCAAAAAACATGGCTAAGCAATCATCACCAACCTGTGTACCCTCTCTGATGTACCACAAACAATGCCCTCAACTGATTCATAAGCAGGTTGCTTGTCCAGATGAGTAAAGGTAAAATTAGCGACCGGAGACTTCGGGTTATCTACAAACACAGGTTTTATGTCAGGGCGGGAACCAAGATTCTTCCTGTGCTCCTGTTCAATAAATGCCGCGTCACGAATGGGGCCGCCAAGGTCCGGAAGTCTTGATTTCGATGGCTGTTCTTTACTCTTACCCATTCTACGCTTTGATGAACCAGAAATACGCGGCCCAAGTGAACCACGGTTTTTGGATGAAGACGGCATCTCGAATGGAGGTGATACAGTAGGGTTGCGTTGCGTCCCTTGTGAGGATGCGGACATGGTAGGAATGGTTGTGAAAGCTCCCGCTAGCTTGGGAGCTGTAGCGGGCCATTTCTCTGAAACTTTGGACGAGCTACGCGACCGAGAATGATTGACATCTGTAGTATGGTCCTTCTGCAGGCTTGCTGTCGCGTAACTGGCAAAGGATCGTTCGAGAGAGGCTGCAACGGAAGGAGCGCGCTTCAATGACAATATATCCAATGGTATGAGGCGACACCTGAGAACAGCAAAGACACGGCTCATCATGATGACTTGAGGACTGCAATGATGAAAAGCCAATGGACCAATGGTGGACCATAGTCTGGTCGGCCACGAAGCAATTGAACTGGAATCAAAATTTCAAAACTTGAGTGCTTTGTCATCATCATTATCAGTGTGACATATGTGACCACGGATAACCAATATCAATACAATATTAATAATAAAATATGATCAAACTCGATCTAGCTCCCTCCATTACAGGTCTGTCCGTCCAGAACTCAAAAATGCCTTCGGATAGAGTCATGGCAAGGGTCCCGCTTCTCTATACACGTGACGTATAGGAATCTTGTTTTGCCGAAGAAAGGTGTCCCCCCGGGCCGGGAAGGCACCTCTTTTTGGGAAGTTGACCCATTAATTTCGCCGAACACCATGACCAATTTTTGTGCCAACAAGGATGTGGTGTATAATTTATTTACATGTTGTCTAATCGCCGCTTGAGAGCATCTGCAATTCCATTCAAATATTTCAATCGCACTGCTGCGACTTTGGTTTCCTGCCAGTTCTTTTGAGCTACAAATTTTGTGACCGCGCTCACAACTTCACTAATTTTGTCTGTGACCACAAGTATCAGCACTTGCCAAACGTTCACAAATGACAAAACTCACTGTCATTGTCCACTTCTAATGTGCGAATTCGCTCGAGGTCCCCAGCTTCAATCTCCTCTCGAACTTCCATGATTTCGCTAATGAGTTCTATATCCTCTAATGGATCTGCTTCTTCAATCATGAGGCCATTCCGCTCCAAAATATATTCTATACGGTGCAAGGGTGACGACAGTGCTTTGTACGCAGCGTTCACCGTATTCGACACGTGAAGTGCAATGTCTCGTTGGAACTGCTGAATAAATTTTGGCTAGTACTGTACGTAGAATCACTCACTTCACTCTTAGTTGCCCACGCGTCTGGGTGCGAGACTCGCTGTGCTTCGATGAAACGGCGTTTAAGGAGTGCAGCATCCACCACAAACGGGTTAGGCTCATAAGGAAGACCCAGTATATCGTGGTATGATATTGAGTCGTGGATCCTTGCAATATAATTGCAGTTTCGACAGGCAGGCAACGCAGTTGGAAGAATAGTCCCACATGATGGACACGTCTTAGTTAATGAAGTGACCACGGAATGCCGTGAGGAAGATGAACTAGCTTTGTCGGTGAATGCTCTTGTATAATATCCGTTCGACAACGCCAACGGTCGATGAGTTGCTTGAGCAGCAGCGACCACGCGGACAAGGAAAGGACGGAACATTCGGATGAGGGGGTTACTTGTTTACTAAGCCGAGGGATGGAAATGAATAGCATGGAGCATGGAAATTCCCTTTTGGAACAATTTCGTCATTGTTTATATATATAGGACTTATAAGTACTAGACCACGTCGAGGATATCACTGAGTACTTGCTAGTAGGCGAGCCTTTGGACAACTTGATCATCACTCGTCCTCACAATGTCGAGCAGTACTAGCGGCACCGCTGAGCTCCAAATCCAGGACTTGTGCTCGCTGGCCGAGCCTCAGTGGCCTGCTCCTCCTCAGGCAATATTAACACTCGATGATCCTTCAGCCGCAGAACCAGCACGTCGTCGGTTGGCTCCAAAGACTCGTTTAAGTATATTTTCTTTCCTTCCAAACCTTTTCTCCTGTTGCCGCTCTAGGCATCACAAATCACAACCGGGGGATTCAGATCCAGAAGCTGAGGCAGACAGCTCAAACAAGTCCATAGAGCAACTACCGGCCCTCGAACAAACCAACGATAATACCACCATAATCACTTTGGACATCTCAGGTATCTCAGATATCCCTGGCATTAATCAGGACGATTATCGTTGGGCTGTTGTATATGAAAATCAAAGAGGGTATGTATATCATCTACCTCATGTGAGGCAGACTGTAACTATCATCCCAAGCCTCACCGTACTCTCGTCCCCGTATTATTCACACCTATCACTGCTTCCTATCGATCCTCCACAATTCACTATCCCGTCCGATTCTTTGAAACAATCCCGACAACCCAATATCTCTCTTTCCAATTATCCCCTGCCCGATGGCACTTGGCGCTGGGTTTCCAGAACATGGATGATCGACATGCGCACAGACTCAGGAGAAGTTCAATGCGACGGTTTTGAGTACAACTGGTTTTTTCGGGAGAAACACTGGCACGCAGAGATTGGCAAACTAAGCACTGGTGCCTGGGTACGGAGAAGACGATGGTTAAGATTGATGATGCGTCCTGCACAGCATGCAATAGCGCACTCGGAGGGAAGTCCAAGTCCTTCCACTAGCAAGAGCAGGCTGTCTGACCAGCCTTTGGATACAAGCTTTGTGTCTCTCGCTTACCCTCAATCAGAGATCACGCTTGACAAGCTCGCTCGCTCGGTCAACCTGGAATGGGAAGGAAGTGAACAAGACTGGGTGCGCTGTCATCGACTGATGCGAAGGCTCGGTCGGGATGGTCGCAAACTTGAACTCTGGCGCATGTGGCTTTCGCCGTATCTCTCTGATGTTTCCAATACCCATCCGGGGGACAAAGGGAAGCTTCCTGAATCTACATTTTCTCTACCGATGACGTTGGAAAATGATGGTTCGGACATCCAAACTCCACCTCTAGAATACTTGGGAGCACTTCTCCAGAGCCACGTATGCATTTCCATTGACAAGTGTATCATCGTTTGATATCACTTTTATAGGGAGATGCAGTACTCCGGTTGTTTGTCTTCCCAGATTCAAGAGCGCAGTTCATCGATCTTGTCAAACGTGCCGGTCTGGCTCATGAATTAGTGCGAGGTCTTGGAGATGGGTTCTCTTCCACTGAGGTTGACTTCTGGAGCTACTCAAATGGCTTAGGCAAAGTACTCGACAAGGATGATTAAACAGAATCGGGTCGGGTCGGGGCCAAGGACTGGAAGGAAGAGCTCTCTGATGAGGATGTCGTGGTAAATTATGTTGAGGTTGTTACAGAGTTACTCGCGAGAGTGGTCAAAAACGCGTGACTTCCACGGAGATCACCATACAGATCGTATCGTTATGCTAATCGTAATATATGTAAATACTGTACAGCAGTGAAGTTGCATGTGAGTGCAACACCCGTCGTTTTCAAACCGGAGCCCTTCTACAGCGCTTTGATGTCAGCGCCGTCTCCTCGGGTCATTGAGCCTACTGAACCAGATTCGGATCATAGCAATTCATCATGGAGAAATATCAATCCGAAGAATCTCTGGCCAGATGACCCAAGTCATCCGGTGAAGGTCGCCCTTCGTACATATTCTCTCAGCCTATCTCTCTCTCTTGGTCCTGCACTACTCCCAGTTGCTCTTACCCTCGTCAATCGTTCATCCAGTCTGGAAACTCGTTTGGGCTCATTCAGGCGCGTGTTGAAGCGCGAAGTGGGCCTTACAGGATTTCCGTTCGCCATCACAGTAGCCATTTGTGGTGGAATTGCATTGAAGCACCTCTTGGAAGCAATAGGTCTCCACAATGTCGATAAAAAAGATGATCCAGAACTTGTTCGACAACAGCCAGTGATAGCTTCCACATCCCAACGACGCGCAACAGTCCTATCGCTTGCAGCTCAGGCATGCTCAGGCATGTCCAACTCAACGCCCTCTCAGAAAGCGTTCCTATCAAATATCTTGTCCTCGACAATCGCATTGTTCTTGCTCCAAAGGACTCGACTATCCAAAGCAGGGTCGCGTCAACCATTCTCAACCTTTGGATTAACGCTCTTATTTTTCTGTCGTGCAACCGACGCAATCATGCAGCATTTCTTGTTCGTGCCATCAGCCCGGAAAGCTGACCTATTCAACATTTCCGTAAATCGATCGAAGCCAGCTGGACCATCTACTGATTTACTACTGCCTGCTGAAGGCGATGGAAAAACCAAGAAATATCATCGAAGTATAGCTGTATGGCTGGACGCCGTTGTATTTTGGGCCTGCAGTGCTAGGTGCGTGATATGTAGCATTCTTGATGTCAACATATATATATTCAAACCCTTCGTGCAATATCAGAATCATGTGGTGTTTCTTCTACCAGCCACATAGGTGCTTAGCAATAAAATAACATAGATTGATGTCTAAATCCATTTTTTTACAGACTTCCCCCTTCTTACGTGAAATGGTTAGATATCATTCAGTTATCATGTCGGGAAGCTCTCGCTCATCGTTTTATGATCAATCATCAGGATATCATCCCTAGCCAACGTAGACAAACGGCTGTTGGACGCCTTGCGTGTTATGCGTTCCAAAGAATGGGTCTATGGGCACAGTTCCTCCCATTCTCACCTCTTGATGTCTTATGCCAAGGACCGCGGATACCCTTCATCTTGGGGCAATCCACATGTCTTGCCTGCATGTGGTACAGGTGCAGATGTGGTCTGGGAGGCGCTTGGCGTGCCTGGCCGGGGTGGTGTGGGCGGATTGCCCTGCGAGCTCCTGCATTCCCGTGTTACAACGCGGTGGGGTCTCGATAACAGCTGTTTAGCAAATGTTGGCGTGAGATTTTCCCTAGCGTTCATTGAGGCTATGGCTCTATACCTGCCTGTAAGTGTATGGCCTGGAGTGCACTGCATTGCACCGCTAATCATGTTTGAAGGTTCACTTTCTTCCTCTCCTTTTTACTCGCCCTAGCTCCATCCTCCAGCGTCATCGCGCCATTCCCGCTCTCCTGGCTGCGATCCGCAGTGCGACATTCCTCTCCACTTTCCTGTCGTCATATTTCTTCGCTGCCTGTCTCACACGTACCTTAGTGCTGGCAAAGCTGTTCCCATGGATCCCTCATGACGTGTGGGATGGGCCATATGGTAGTGTTCTCGTGGGATCGCTCACGTGCGGTTGGAGTATACTCATTGAAAACACGCGGAGAAGGGGAGAGATGGCGTTATATGTGTTACCCAGAGCCGTTAAAGCATTTTTACCGGCCAGGTGGACTGCAGGTAATCATGCTGGTGCGAGGCTAGCTGAGCGGTTAGTATTCTTAAAGAGTATTTTCCTTGTGGTGCTGATGGGATGCAATAGAATCGTATTTGTTCTGTCGCTGGCTTCACTGCTCACTTTTGCAGTCCATGAGCCAGAATCTCTGAGAGGTCTGTCGCGATGGACCCTCGCTTTTGTCATGAAAGGGTCAAATGCTGAGTTCTGGAAGAAACGTAAAGAACACATTGAGACTTGTCCTCAGACGCCTATCTCTCCGCCCTCCAACTCAATCTCCACGCAAAGCGTCGATCGTTTGTAAGACGTTCCACAACGCCAACTTAATCCGCGGCAATCCGACTCTGGGACTGGCGTATTTTGGGAGAGTTTGCTCATGTCTCTACCAATCTTCGATCTAGATCATGCCCCTTTTCCCGCATACTTTACGATCTTCGCCCAGATATACTCCTGATTATACCATAAAAACATTTCCAGTCAATATCCTTACGCATCTCCGATTGTCTCACTTACATTTTGCTAACTAGCCGCTCCAAAGGTGTAACATGTGATCGTAGAATGAGCAACTCCCGATCAATGTCTTCCCATCTACACCTGGAGGAGCAAATGACCAGTCTGCGCCGTATGCTAGCGACTTGTGATCATCAAACCGCTTCACAACTTCCCACGTTGCATGTTCTCCGTTGTGGGCCCTCGCCACCTTGAAACCGTCGTGCATACTTGCAACGAGGAGATCCTCCTTACGACTGGGCGACGGATGCCACTTGACACGCCACGCACCCCCTCCAACATCTCCTTGGACGAGCGGTACCAGCGGCTTCCGAGCTGTCAAAAAGACAAACGCTATTATCGTAGCTGTGCGCGATTTCAAAAGCCGTGATGTTGATAGCAAAGAAAAACTGCGCACCTTCCGACGGCTATGAGATATTCGATGTGTGGATGGCTCTGAATAGTTGTTACACCTGCGTTAAATCTTCGAGGGTATGAGAAACAAACAAAACATGTGGAGATAATTACATGCCGCTTATTTGTAAAGATGGGCTGGATAAAATTCTGTCGGACATCCCAGCCCTTCATGGTTAGGTCGTCTCCACCCGAATAAACGATGGATGTATCCCAATAGTTCCAAGCAGCGATCCAAGGTTCGTAATCGTGCGCGTGCCACCGGTTGACAATAGTCAAATGGCCAGTTGAATCAGGATTCAGAACGCACAGTGATCCATTTGACAAGGAAACTACCAGAGAACCGTGATTGCTGTCTCAGAATCTTGGGTCAGCATTGCCTGCAGTCTCTTGAGCTAGCGTACTTCGTGGGGTATCTTCGGGTAGACCAGTCCAAGGAAAGGCACAGAACGTCCGAGGTTGCGCAGGATACGCTCTGAAATGCCTTGAGCTGGCGCTAAAATCACTGAGTCACAATTTATGCGATTGAAATACATTAAAACATACCTCTTCTTTGTGCCACTCGTGAAGGGTAACATTCCCTTCCGAGTCTGCAATTCCGAGTACTGAAGAGGCTGTTCGAGAAGTATGACACCTACGATTGTGCAGATATTGACGTTTGATACGACTCAAGTATACGACGCGAATCTCACCATTTCTGATCGAGGACAGCTGGAAGACTGATTTCCTGAATCTGGGAACTTGATGATAGACATTGAACCAGTGATTCGCAGGAATCGATTCGCTTACTTACACTCCTCTGTCCTCTGTTACTTGCAATACAAGACACTTTCCACGACGGACTTGACTTTGTTTTCTCGCCGTAGGTTCGAAATCTACTTTATTGTCATCTGTGTGCACCTGAGTATCGGCGGGGGAATGTTCTAATCGATAGGTCCCGCAAACAAAGATATCAGAAGCACTCTCGTGGGGGCAAAACTCAATCGAATCTGCGGGCCAGATGGTATCCAATACGACCATTGGAGAAGAGGGTGCAGAGTCTAGATTCGTGTCACGGTGTCACAGGTGCTTACATACCTACTAGGCGCCCGTTGATACTGCGTCACAACCGCGTCATTAAGTTCACTTAGGCCTGCACTGCCACGTGTGATGATATCACCAGCAAGTTCTGCAATGTTCGATAAAGGGGTGTCTGCTTCTGGATCATACTACAACCAGCCAAGGTTGATAAAAAGGTAGCCCAGGCAAGGAATCGTTGTCACCAACCTCAGTTCGCTTTTCGCCTTCACCATGAACTTCGACTTCACAGATAAAACCCAACAATCTTTGTCGGCTGCCATTCAACTCGCAAAGGATTATTCTAATGCCCAAGGTATGTGTACATATTCTACTGATAATTATTTGTTGTTCACTCGTTCTCCAAAGTTCACCCTGCACATATCGCTGCAGCTCTTCTGAACGAGGGTGCGGGAGATGATTCACCAATTAGTATGTCCAACGTTGGTGCAAGCTCCCTATTCTCTTCTGTTATACAGAAGGCTGGTGGTGATCCAGTACGTGTCTATGTGTACCGGCTTGGTATGCCACCTCACCCCCATGACAGGTCAATGTAAAACGTGGACTTCAGAAGATCATTGTCAGACTACCCTCACAATCTCCATCTCCGGAGGAGATCTCCATGAGCGCTAGTGCGTTGAAGGTTTTGCGCGAGGCCCAGTCACTCCAGAAAACCATGCACGACTCCTACATCGCGCAGGATCATATAATTCTCGCACTTCTAAAGGACCCATCGATATCCTCTATCATCAAGGACGCTGGTCTCACTGAGGCCGCCTTGAAGACAGCTACCGAGCAGACTAGAGGAAACCGTCGTGTGGAAAGCAAGAATGCAGAGGCAGGATTCGACGCTTTGCAGAAATATGCGGTCGACTTGACTGCTCTTGCCGAAGAAGGGAAAATCGACCCTGTGATTGGCAGAGATAATGAGATTCGGAGGATCGTTCGTATTCTTTGCAGAAGGTAGGATTCATATTTTTCTGTTGGTAGTCACCTCTAAACGTAGCTTGTCTAGAACAAAGAATAATCCTGTGCTCATTGGCGAGCCTGGTGTTGGAAAGACATCGATAGCGGAGGGTCTTGCTCAGCGTATCGTTAACCGGGACGTGCCAGCCAGCCTCATTGGGCGCCTGTTTTCGCTTGATATGGGTGCATTGATGGCTGGTGCGAAGTACAAAGGCGAGTATGAGGAACGCATCAAGTCAGTTTTGAGCGAAGTGGAGAAATCATCCGAGGACGGCCAATCTATTATTCTATTTGTGGATGAGCTTCACCTCATCATGGCTGGTCGAGGTGCCGAAGGCGGTGGCATGGATGCAGGCAACCTCTTCAAACCGCTTCTGGCTAGAGGCAAGCTGCGTTGTATTGGGGCTACCACGCTAAGCGAGTATCGGAAGTATATCGAGACAGACGCTGCTCTGGAACGGAGATTCGCACAAGTTTTGGTGAACGAACCTAGTGTCCCCGAGACGATTAACATTCTCAGAGGCATTCGGGAAAAGTATGAAGTTCATCATGGTGTTCGAATTTTGGATGGTGCCCTGATCTCTGCTGCCACTCTGGCCCATCGATATCTGACTTCGAGACGTCTTCCCGATGCCGCCATTGATCTTGTCGACGAAGCTTGTGCAAGGTATGTTTCCTTAATACCCGTCATGAAACTACCTGACGAATTGTGCTAGTGTTCGTGTTACCCGAGAGACAGCACCTGAATCCATCGACAAGCTTCAACGTCGTAAGCTCGAACTGGAGGTTGAAATTCATGCTTTGGAACGCGAGAAGGATCAGGCCAGCCAGGAGCGTCTAAGTGTGGCTCGCAAAGCCATCGCCGATGTTGATGACGAACTACAACCGCTTCGGGCTGCCTATGAGGCTGAAAAGCGCAAAGGCGACGAAATTAACGAAGTGCGGAGGAAGATCGACAATCTACGCGCTAAGGCCGACGAGGCAGAGAGAAGGTGTGCTTGCCATTCTGGATTAATTGACCATCTCCTGACCACAGCACATATTAGATATGACCTTGCAACTGCATCTGACCTTCGCTATTATGCCCTTCCAGACCTTCAGAATCGCCTGGAGGCCCTTCAAGCCAAAAAGTTCGAAGAGGACGCCAAGATTGGTGGAGGTACAGATACCGTCACTCCCGAACAGATCGCAGAAATTGTCGGACGGTGGACGGGTATTCCAGTCACACGTTTGATGTCAACCGAAAAGGAGAAACTCCTTCGCATGGAACGTATCCTTGCCGATTACGTTGTTGGTCAGCCGGAACCTGTGAAAGCTGTCGCCAACGCTATCCGGCTCTCGAGAAGTGGACTGGCTAATCCTCAGCGCCCTATTGCCAGCTTTTTGATGGCCGGTCCTTCTGGCACAGGAAAAACATTGCTCAGCAAGACAGTAAGTTGATGTAACTTCGTCATAACTACAGTCACTAACCGAAACCTTCGCAGCTCGCTACTATTCTCTTTGACACCCCTGATGCTATGATTCGCATCGATGGTTCTGAATATTCTGAGAAGCATTCTATCGCACGTCTTATCGGCGCCCCACCTGGCTATGTTGGTCATGACGCCGGAGGACAACTCACCGAATATGTTAGGCGCAAACCCTATTCCATCGTCCTCATCGACGAGATTGAGAAGGCTTCGCGAGAATTCGTCACGCTCTTCCTTCAAGTCCTCGACGATGGCCGACTCACTGATGGACAGGGCCGCGTTGTCGACTTCCGGAATACCGTTATCATCATGACGTCAAATCTCGGTGCTGCATACTTGAACGACGTAGGTCAGGGTCCAGTAACTCCGCAGACCAAGCAGCTAGTCATGGGGGCAATAACGGGCCACTTTCCGCCCGAGTTCATCAACCGTATAGATGAGATTGTCGTCTTTGTAAGCCACCGCATAGCATGCATCTTAGGTTCTAAATTTCTTACACTATGATACAGCGTGCACTTTCCAGAAGCAGTATGCTCAAGATCGTAGACTTGAGGCTCAAGGAGGTCCAAGACCGTCTAGCCGAGAAGAAAATAGTACTCGACATTGATAACGAGTCGAAAAGATACTTGGTGTCCATCGGGTACTCGACGACATACGGAGCAAGACCGCTGAACCGCGCTATCCAGAGCGAGCTCCTGAATCCCTTGTCGGTGATGCTACTTTCTGACCGTATTCGCGACGGGGAGACTGTGAATATTCGGTTCGACGCCCCCCGCAACAAACTTGTTGTCGTACCCAATCATGAAGGCCAGGCCGATGTTGATGCAATGGATGAAGATTGGAATGAAGATAGTGACATTGAAATAGAAGAGATGGATTAAGGAACGTGTGCACTTCTGTATTATAGTACCCAAGCACTGTATCATAATATGCATGACGGGCTAGTACCAGCTGTAACCTTTGTAATTGTAGCTAGGAGGAATCTGAAGATTAACTGACTTTCCTTTCTTGGTGAAAGTCCTTGCGAGATTTCTCGCTTTCGGGTTCGACCGCGGTCTCGATGTCCGCAACCGTGACCATGCTTAGCCGTCGTCTGATACATCGCGCCTCTCACCTGAAGGTGCTAAGTCGCTTTTCTTCTTCTTCCGCAAACCCTGTAACACCTATACCTACTTCTCCATCACCCGTCGCGAACCAAGCACCCAATTATCCAACGACATGGACAACCAGCCAGATATCTCGCGCGGTCGCCCAGTCAGGTCCACGTTTTGAGCAGACCGTTCTCGAACTCCAGCCCAACCCATTGAGCGCAATGGAGATGGTTAACAATGAGCCTATCCGTGTTGTGCATGGGCGGAAAGCTGTTTGTGATGGTGGTTAGTAATACTTTTTCTTCTCAACTTGAGCGTCGGTGCGACAATTTGTTGCAGGAGGAGGACCTCTTGGTCATCCAAAGATATTCATCAACCTGGTTTGTGTTGGTACTTCTGGATGCTGTTCCATAATTGACATTCTTTTGCAGGACAAACCTGGTGCTCGGCCATGCGGGTAAGTATTATTGCTATGCCTTGGCTTGATTGTCACTACTAACAAATTTGTTGTACTTTACCTTTAGCTACTGGTATGTGACTATTTTTTCTGGCCAGACTTCAAACTCACGTACGACTTCCAGCGGCCTCCGCTTTGAACAAGCTCCACATGACCACTAAGTAGAACGCTTAGGATGTCAAGCTATATAATTAGCACGGGCTGGCGTCTGGCATATGACTAGATTAAAATTTTTCATCCCGTGTTAAACAATGCTTTGCATGTTTCTGATTGCCGCCTATTGCAAATGTGGGTAAAAGTACAGCGGCGCTCTACAACGCCCAACCAGAGTAAATATGCTACTAGAATGGGGTAAGTATGGTAAGATAAACCAGGAGGAATACTAGAGTCACAGTGAATCCGGGCGATGTGCCCGATCAACCTCCTGGGTTCGGTGAGATACGGTTTAGAGGGCGCCGGGCGGTAAGAACGAACAGATGTAGCAATGAATGGTTTATATGTCCACCAGTTGAACGTTCCTAACCTCACAAGACCTGATAAATAAAACCAAAAGGAGAGTGGTGATGCCACCGGCATCAGTCATCTTCCGGTGAATGGAAGGACATGGGCGATAATGGAGGGTATTCCCCTTCTGCAACTGCCTCCAGTTGAGAAAATGGGGGGAGAGAATGTGATGATAAATGATCACTGGGCGATGTTGGTAATGGGGTCTAAGATGGAAGTCAGCTCTACTTGAGATGTGGAACTAGAGCTTTGCTTACCACTTTGAATATCGGATTTATGACAGATTGAGGGTCTATCCCTGGACTTGGAGGGTGACCATACAACTGCCCGTTACATTCATATGACTTATGAGAAGACGAAGGATATCGTATCATCGGAGGAACCATGTATGATGAGTGTTGTGGACTGGAAGAATCGGTACGGATCCACGGCCGTGGTGATGGTGATAGGGAAAGGAGATTTAGAGGTGGAGGTGAGGAAGCTCCCGATGCAGAGGATGTAGTATCAACAGAGGCACGTATGCAGAAGTCATTGAACTGGTGGTCCAGAGAGATAGAGTTCGATGACCGAGCAGAAGTGGGGAAATCATCAAAGGACGTCGTGCCCGTGCGTAGTGAGGAAGCGGACGTCATTCGGTTGATCCCATACAGCGTTGGCCTTCGCGTCCGTGATGGGCCAGGGTCGCTATCGACTGTAGCGAACGAGATGGCGGACATTCGGCTTAAGCTGTGAACGTCTGATGAAGACATGGAATGATCGTCATCAAAGCCTCTTCGTCGAACTTTCGTCAAACGTTCATCTCGTAACCCCCATCGGTCGTTAGGAGCCAGCGTCCCGTCGATAGGGTTAATATATCGACCTGAAGCAGCGTTCAACGTCGGCGATGACACTTTTGCACTTCCTTGGGTCTCCTTCTGTCGAATAGGACCAGAAGCAGATACCTTGCTCTTCTCCATCTCGTCGTAGGGCGTTCCTCGCTGATGGGAATTTAGCAAACTGGCATGTGTTTGCCACATCCACTCCAACTCGTTCCGCGAAGTAGTTTGCATGTACATTTGGCTGCGTTTCTGCATGACTGCACGAGCCTGCTCCCTCTGGGTCCGTTCTGCCATCGCGCGGCGTTGCTTTTCCGCTTCGCGTAATTGTCGCTCGGCCTCTTTCTTGATAGCTTTGGCATTCTTACGAGCTGAACCGTTCATAGGCTGTAACTCCGCCAATGATGGACTATCCGAGCTGGTAGATTGCGTGCGCTTGAGCGACGGCGTTGAGTTGGAAGACGCACCCGGTACTTCGTCGACGGGAGGAAGTTGCTGATGGACCTTCTCTCCGTGTCCAAACATGGAAAGACCCCATTTAGAGGGTTTCTTGCCAAGGCTGAAGTGTAGCTTGCTGCTGAGTTTGATGCTCGGCGATTGGGTAGCATCATGGGCAGGCATCGGATGGTCAGGTTCAACGCGGGGACGAGTCTGGTACTCCGGTACCATCGGTGAAGATTGTACTTCCATCGGGTAGCCCGCGTGGTAAGCATCGAGAAGGGGCTCTGCCTGTGGAGAGGATACCTCCATCTGATCGGAGTCACTCCGTGCGTGACTAGCCCACGAGGAAGCGCCCCCTTGAGCGCGTACTTCTTCTGGAATATCCGAGTAATGCGAATGTATGCGTGGATCAACGACATATTCGGATGTTTTATGTGAGGTAGGTGTGTGAATAGTCGACGTGACGAAGGAGGGGACGAATGCAGAGCGATGGGACGAGGAAGCATCGGGGATATGTGACGGGTGCAGGCTTGGGGGTTGATGGTAGGGTGATTTCGGGGCGGAGTTATGTGAATGTGACGGAGGAATGCTGCGTGGTGAAGCAGAGGGAGTGATGTGATATATGCCATTCGAGACAGATCTCGATGGCGTTGGTGGCAGAGTCTGTGTGTGAAGAGCAGGAGGCATCGGGGGACCATTCCCTGGTAGAGCCTCAATAAGGTATGGGTGTTCGAGACACTGTCGACTCGTGAGACGACTATCAGGATCATACTTCAGTAAGTCTGATATACAATCAATAAGTTTGCGAGGGACACTGCGTTCGAAATACGAAGAGAAGTCCCGAGGAGTGCTCTGACATGACATGTCAACAATATTCAATACGTACATAACATTACAGCAACCAACCTTTGGAAAAGCGAAATTAAATTGTTTCGCCATCTTGAGTCCCCTGCTCCATTTACCACCACCAAGGGATCTACCGCGGAGATCCGTTCCATGGTCTGCAGGATCCCCGAGAACCTCGCATATGCGATGTATTTGGTCTATTTGACCGGATCCTGGAAATAATGGTCGAAGGTTGACTAACTCAGCCATGATCGTACCAAGGGCCCACATATCCACTGGATTCGAGTAATCTCGACTGAGAAGCAACACCTCCGGGGCTCGATACCAACGGGTTGAGACGTATTCCGTGTATGGCGGTGAACTGAGTGTCTCCCTCGCAAGCCCAAAATCGGCTAGCTTGATGATCGCGACAACATCCTTCTCCGTAGGTGCATTTGGAGGGGCTACCGGGGATAGTGAACGATATTCGAAGAGACCCGTTGTTGTAACGAGAACATTCTCGGGCTTCATATCACGATGGAAATAACCTGAAGAATGAATGTGGTGTAAACCCGAGACGATCTGGCGAAAAATAGAAGCGACTAGGCCGCCAGCAAGGGTACGGCCTTTTCTCGCCTTTATCAGATGATATAAATTCCCTTCCATGGACTCGAAGACGAAATAGAGCTCCTTAGTATCTGGGAGGAGAAAAAAATCATAGAGTGGAATAATGCAAGGGTGAAATGGTATTGCGCGTAATGACTGAAAGGGTTGGTGAGAATGGGAGCAGTGAATGAAAGTTAATTGACATACTTCGAGCTCCTTTAGCTTTTTACATTCGTCCCAACCCCCTTCCCACTTCTTTTTCATCCTCTTGACGGCGACAAGACGCTTTCCAGCCCATTCTGGTCTAGCGCCGCCACCGCATTGCATAGGAGAGAGTGGTGTATTGGGCGGTAGCGTCCCATGCCAATCACACAACAAGACTGTTCCAAATGAACCGTCACCCAGGGTCTTGATTGGTGTATAAGAGCGATGTGAACCTTTAGGTCAAATTGCGAATATGAGAGACAAGGAAAGAGATTGAGATACTCAAGACTGACTGGAACGAGAGTCTCCGACTTGGAGTTTTCCATTCTGTATGGAAACAGAGGGTATACCAATGACAGAAACTGTCTCCTTTGGCTGAGATGAAGCTGCTGATTTGTGGGATTGGGAAGGTGGTGGTGGGTGAAAGTGACCATTTGTCTGGTGGATAGTATGTCCATTTGTCTGGTTATTGTTGTGAGAGTCGTAGTGTGTATTTGAGTGACCATTGCTCTGGTGGGCATGATTCGAGGATGTGAACATGATACGCAGAGCATTGCCTGGCGATGGAAAGTGGGAAGGAGAATTTAACGAGAGGGCCAGCACGGATGCTGAGGCTAAGGGAACATACGACGAAAGAGACAATAAGTGATGATAAGAAATGTACCGAATGCTCGCAATTAGCTAGACGAGGACTACGACTACGACGAACTCGAAAAAACAGACAAGTGTTGAAGACAAGAGAGCGGAAAAGGTAAAGCGAGGAGGTTTAGTCGAAAGAAGCATCTTCATCGCCAGACTAGGGAACACTACTAAAGCTGTGCTACAACAACCGAACTCAATAGCTCTCTCTCCCTTCTCTCTCTCCGTTGATGGTGAGTACATCCGTTTCATCCTGTGAGATTACACAACCGGTACGTTCAATAGTTTCATACTCACGCCAAAAAACTTTTAATTGTATAGTGGTATAGCCCTCAGGAATTTTCTGTGAGTCTCACTCCGTCTCAGTCCTCCCTAACACATGTCTTTCCCAGCTTTTCCCGGGTTCAACCGGATATCATTATGTTGCCCAAATATTCGGTCCCGTTCTCCTCCATCCTGCGTACCACCGAGGCTGTCTAGCCGGCTACCCTTAGACCCTACGCAATCACCTTCTCGTTATGTAGTCCAGAACTTCTCAGAACCACACCGTGGCAATTTTTTTGTGACACCCCAACGGCACCTTAATTATCTCTCAGCAACCGGTTGGCCTCTCTTTCTTCATCTCGATGATGATGCAGCCGCATCTAGATGATATATCCACCAGTGGCAGCCACTGCCTTGTGCGCGGTCCAATCTTCATTCCGGCGACGCCCCTTAGAAGAATGGTCCTTCCGCTTCAGCCCTTGTAATAAGCGACCCGCGATAGGATCTCACACTTTTCACCTCTTAATTTGGAATTCGAAACTTCTGTCATATCGTCATAAACTCACCTGCTAACCGTGCGCGTGCAATAGATTGAGTTTGGTTTAAAAACATTGTCTCACGAATTTGATCTTACAGCAAGGTCACCTATAATTGGCGGGATACTTGATATTTGACATGATATTGATCCGAGTACCATGGCCAAGTCTAGACACAAGCCTACCCTCTACTACATATGTATATATCCTTCTCGCAGATCGGATGCAAATACACTCGTATAATAATATCCCTCTCGTTTATTCCTTCTAGTACGGAACCTCATGGAAGAGCTTCGACACGCTCTCCCCATAATGGCTTCGCCGGATAACCTCCCCGAGGACAGGTCCGATGTCAATAACTTCGATCTTGGAACACTTTGCCTGGTTCTCCTTCTGAGGTAACGTATTGGTCACGATCAGTTTCTCCAACACGCTCTTCTCGATATTTTCTAGAGCATTACCGCTCAATATTCCGTGTGTCACGATTGCGTAAACCTTGGCAACACCTGCTTCGGTGAGATGATGCGCGGCAAGACACAGCGTTCCGGAAGTGTCGGCCATATCATCGATGAGGATGGCAACTTTGTCCTTGACATGCCCAACGAGAACCATGCGCGATACGGAGTTGGCCTTTTTGCGCTCTTTGTGAAAAAGAGCAAAATCGACGCCCAGGCGATCTGCGATGGACGTAGCCCTGAGATATAATGATGAGAGTTGTCATAAACCTCCTATCAGTAGGTTGTCACCTCTTGGCGCCGCCCGCATCGGGGGAAACGATTACGACATTTTCAAGATCAAAATGGGTGCGTATGTACAGGATTGATGATGGCTCGGCGAAAAGCTGGAATGGACACGTGTCAAATTATTGCCCAATCTATAAAATGCCACAGCACTTACGCTGTGCACGACAAAAATGGACAAATATGAGTGACCCACGCTTGGAAACAGGATCAAACGTTAGACTTACTTATCCACTGGCACATCAAAGAATCCTTGAATTTGTGATGCATGGAGGTCCATGGTCTATATCCAAGTTGTCAGCCCGGATCGACGCATTGGGTTGACAGAGCGCTCAAGTCAAGACAGCGCAAACACCGGAACGGTGCCCCGATATTCCTTGGAGCAGGATAGATACTTACAATGACGTGATCACAACCTGCTTTTTGTATCATGTTTGCTACGAGTTTCGCCGTGATTGGGGCGCGGCTCTTGTCCTTCTTATCTTGTCGTGCGTATGGAAAAAGAGGGACGACAGCCGTTATGCGTTTGGCACTTGCAATCTTGCAGGCATGGATCATGATACAAAGCTCCATGAGGGATGTGTTGACTGCTCCGCAGCCAGTATTGATAATGTACACATCGTTCTCGCGAACGCTTTCTGCGATGCGGACGCTCGTCTCGCCAATGCCGCTCTTGGTTACATCAGCTTTCGCAAGAGGTAGACCAAGGCTAGAGAGTGCATGGGTGAACAGCGCGCTCGCGAGTTCATTTGTATTTACCGTCGAGCAATTATCTCCGCCAGCTCGGGATGGCTGGTGCCTGTCAGGGTAAGTGTCACTCCGTAAGAGAAGGTCGCAAAAGTCAGAATCTAAAGACGAACCAGTGAAGATTTTGACTCCAGTTCCGTTCAGCATGATATTAATTTAAGTACAAGAGAGAGATATCCATGGATTGTAAGAAAAAAAAATAAGAAAAGGTGAGGAAAAGCAAAACTAACACTCATCACACGTGTCACAGAAAATCTGCGTGTGACTGCGTGACGATAAGATGATGGCTGTACAGGGCGGCTGAGAGGCAACTAAAATAGATAGGCAACTTGATGTGCACGATTCTTTGGAACATCCTAAGGGGATCACAATAACAAGTTTTCTTGTATGATTGCACCACATGTTACAACTTTGATTAAAGTCTTGACATAGGAGACGGGCCAATGGACTTCACTACTGGGATTACATACATGCCGTGCCATTAAGCGATACAAACGGGAGGAGGGCTGGATCTCCTCAAAATGCCACAAGACGCAAAATTGTAAAATCGGGAGGATAATCCGTGATTCGTTGTTTACGTACGCTTTTTGCAGAATGTCTTGTGGCGAGCACGCCAATCCTTCACCTAAGCATTGTGGAGTAGCATTATAGTTAAACGTCAGGTAGGTGACATTGATTTCATAGCTCACCTGGCAGGCTCTTCCACAATAGAAGGCGGACTATCGAACAAAGTCACTCAGTTCTCTCATGCGTCTTTTCAGCCTGAAACTGCCTAAAAATGCGTACCTGGCATCCAGAACAAGCCAAAAGCTGGCTCCGGTCGAACGTTTCACCAGGACACTGACAGTGCGATTAGCAAATGTTATAAAGATGACATGAGACTACCTCACGTCATAGTTTCCGCAGACCATGATATCTGCAGGATGGGATAGTCTTACCCTTCTCGCTTCCTCAAGGTCACCCTTCACTTCATGCACCTGACCAAGATTCTCGACAGAGACTGCCGCATCATATGCAGGACCATTCTCCATGCGGACAGAAACAGCCTTCTTGAGCTGCTCTTCAGCATCTGTGATCTTGCCCATCTTGAGGTAGAGTTCTCCGAGTGCATTGCGAGTTATGGCAGTAGTAATATTATTCTCACCAACTGCACTGAGTTTAAGGTGGAGTGCTTGCAGGTGGAGATCCTCTGCACCGGTATAATCGCCTTGGCTAGAAAGGCTAAGGGCTTGGTTGTTTATTTATAGCCGCCTGAGAAACAGCCATCCCAGAGGCCTGGTTGGAATGCAAGTGCATTGTGAGGCCAGACATTTGAAGGTGATACAGTGAGTACGATGAGATGGTAAAGGTACTGAGATGAGACTCATGAGATGTCTATTATTCAGCTCGCTTTGTTGGGAAGTGCCAACTTCCGAATCCCGCTCATGTCCGAACGATCCAGATATGTGGCCATGTTTTCATTGAAAGAAATAGCTTCGATTGTCGGGAAACAAGAACCTTGCAATCAGCATATATCAGAACCTAAGCCGCTGACTTTAGCATTAGCTTGGATCGAAGTGAATATCATGTAACAGGGTTGACATGGACACCCAGGCCAGTGGTACTTTGTGCTTTGCTAGACTGGATTACATGCCTGCCGTGCCGTTGCGATAACAGAGTCAAAACATATTTTTACCTCACACAGACAGGAAAGCTTTGAGGGTGTCCTCTTTAAAGTTCCACGAGACATAAAATATTACTCAACCATATACGGTCTAAAGTCGGGTACCTTGCATCCAAAACAAGCTAAAAAGCTGGCTCTGATCAAACGTTGTACCGGGACACTAGCAGATCATTAAGCGGGTGCCATAAAGATCTATTGAAGTGGTACATACCAGGTTATAATTTCCGCAGACTATAACATTTCCAAGGTGGAACTGTCCTAACCCTGAACTCAAGTCGCCCTTTGCTTCAACATGCACCTGATCGAGATAAGTATTAGTGCCTATTCTCTTGCGGATAGAGGCAGCCTTCCTGAGCTGCTCTTCAGGAAACTCTGCCCATCTTGATGCAGAGTTCTCCAAGGTCAATTGCGCTAAGTGTGCACAGTTGAACTCCTAAGTGACGGTTTGTGACAAAGGATATGTGTTGTGTCATGTTTGTTACGTGGCTAAAGCGAAATCATACGCTATCACTCACCGCTAACAACAAGTGCATCAATCGTCTTTCCATCCAACTGTGTATACAACGATCAATTCCAAGACTGGCTTCCTGAACTCTCTTTACTTATTTCTTTTCTCTCTCTTTCTCAATTAAACATGACTTCTTCCTCGTCCTCATCGCCAGAAATGCACCCTGCTCCTCCGGTAGACTCCGCTGAACGCTTTTCCTATAAACTTGCAACACATGAAGAGGTCCTTGAAGATCTATCTAGGTATATCCACTCCACCTATGATCAATTTTCTTCTTACGCCAAAAAGTCGCTTTCTTTTAAATCTCCCAGAGGAAGAACTATCGTCTCTTGAGCGGATATGTTTCCAGGTGGAGCAAGCGTAAGCCGCCCGCAGTGCTTGCGATTCCCTTCCGGCTCACATTTTTCATATAGGCATTGGTTCTACGAAGACTTCATCCGAGAACAAAATCCCAAATTTCCATCGCTACCGCTGAAGAAATTCTCCGCAATGCTTTTCCAAGCTTGTCCTCTGCTACACCAGTGGAGTCACGATCATGAACAAGCCTTCAATACCTTCATGCAATACAAGACTAGAGTCCCTGTATGCGGCGCAATTATGTTAAACGACACCTGGGAAAAGGTATGGTGCTCTTGGTGCTCAGGAACGAACACAACTTACTCAGATCTCTAGTGTATCCTTGTCAAGGGGTGGAAGTCGTCTTCTGGTTGGGGCTTTCCAAAGGGTAAGATAAACGAGAGCGAGCCTACCCATGAGTGTGCCATTCGAGAAGTGCGTCGTGTTGTCCACATTCCTGTCCGGCGACCTGAGATTCTCCGCTAGGTGCTTGAGGAGACTGGTTATAATCTGGCAGGTCAGCTGGTTCCTGCAAACGTAATTGAAATGTCGATCAAGGAGCAATGGATTTCTCTCTTTGTGGTACCCGGAGTCCCGGAAGACTTTCCTTTTAAAACTCGAACCCGCAAAGAGATAAGTGTACGTTCATTTAGTCACGCCTCCCCTTTTTTGTCGTAATCTTTTCTTGCAGCGGATCGAGTGGTTCAAGTTAACTGATCTTCCAACCTGGAGGCGGAACAAAGCCGCACCGGGAAAGTTTTATTTAATTTCCCCCTTCATCGCGTGAGTCTCCTTTTATTATTCGTTTATCAGTTGTCGTCAACTTCGAGTAGATCGCTGAAGGCATTCGTCACTGCCAACAAGCCTCGAGCCATGGAGGGGCGAGTTCGGAGGATTGGAGGCTACACGAGTACGGATAATTGCACACATGAGTCTAGCTCATCTTCGGCGGATAATGGCGAACCGCAGACGCCGTCTCCTCAGTATAGCGAGGCACTTCCTGCGACAAACCGTCGTGTGGCTGCCCACGAATCCGATGACGAGCAAGCTGTCGATCCTGAACACATGGACCCGCATTTTGCTCGTCTACTCAGTTCTCTGACGCTTTCGGCTGTCAAGCAAGACGATTCAAAGCCTCAGCTTGTTCTTCCGCCAGTTAAATCGCCTCTCTCGGTACTCGCTCACAACGCGACACCACTAGCCAAGCAGAATATTGTTGATTGGTCTTCTCGTGTTTCTGCCCAGTCAGAAACTCCTGGTGTGATGTCTTCTCCGCCTCCGAAACAACGGCCCTCGAACGTGACATCGTCCTCCGCACATTCCCTTCGGGTTTCCCAATCTTTGAGCATGCAGGCTTCCTTTATCGAGTCATCCACACTACCAAGTTCACCTGCTCATGATCCTGGAACTCCTTCATCAGGAGCCCTTTCGACCGCCTCGTTATCCGCTGCGTCTGCCGCATCGTCTACTTCATCCTTGGCTTCCTCTCGAAAGGTCCCATTGTCGTCAAGACGTACGTCGAGCACTGCCGACATATCACCCTACCTTCCGCGCCTGACTGAGGTTCCTGCCTCAGGCAAGATGTTGAGGCAGCTGGCCCTACTGGAATCAGTGGCCGATGAGTCTTCACGCATGACCCCTACTCTGCCCAGTAGGGAGTTACCCTCTGGCGCCCGTCGTCCGGGTCCGTCAGCTTCCGTTCCACCATCTACGCACTATCCGCAAGCTGACTTTCGCCCATTATTTGGACATATGTCATCAATGCCAGCTGAATATTATCTCACACCTACTTCTCAGCAAGCCAGCACAGGGTACCCTCAGCCGCCGCTTGTTGATGACATTTTTCAAGTGCGACCACGCTCCGGTCAGTTTACCACCCACGACTATTCCCCTCGGAATGTCCAACAAAATCAGTTGTTGTCACTGCTGACAGGCCCCCCATCCCTTCCTGTCGGAATGCCACACACTTCTCATCCACATTCCTCCTACTTGCAAGGCTACTCTACAGTCCATAATTATCAAGCCCATCCTTCCGCACTCTTCCCCCCCGCACATCAGGGCGCGGGTCCTCATATGGTAACCGGTTTCCCTACTGGGATGCCCCCAGTCAGTGCTCAAATCGCATCTACTCGATTCTCTGCCATCACACCATCAGCCCATACGTTACAATCAACTTTCCTCCCACCGCCAATCACTTCGCGAACCCCTGTGACCAACAGCGCTCAGTTACTTTCACTTCTAAACGGTAATAAACATGCACCGGCACCAGCCCCCGTTAATGCTGGCCATAGATGATTACACCACTATATCTCTGCTATAACCCCACCCTGCATCATATATTTTGCTTGTCATCAACGCCATAGTGTATATGCTACGTTCACTCTCCTCTTTTGGCATGCCTTCGCCTTTTCTCCTGCACTTATTCCTTGTCTTCGGTCCTTTACTTTCGAGACATCTTTTTCTGTCTGTCTTTTTTGACTGCGGGTTTCAATGAGTTTGACGTGAACCATTGTCATTCTCGTCGTTCATTACGTTTTGTTGCTGCAGTACAATAATTGCTATCATCCATTTGTCCACTCTCGACACCTTTCTGTCATCCTTGAATCTACAGTACTAGTTCCGGTGTCATCCTTGGTCTCGTCGCAATACCCCCTGTAGTTTTGTAGCTCCATTTTCATTCTAACCAGATATATCGCTGGCCTAGTCCGTGCTCATTCGCTTGTACTTGTCCCTTGACCGCCGAATGCAAGCCAAGTTTCGTCACACATTTGTTTTGCTACTGAAGCAAGGAAATAAATATGCTGCATGAAACCAAGGATGTGTGGAACATGTATGTCGAAAAGAAGAGATAAATGGTGATACAGGTCAGGATATATGTTTGGTAAATCCCATGCGACGGGCATACTCTCGTTCCTCTTCGACCGTCAGTCGGTCCGAACCTGACCAATTTGCTGAACTCGTCCGTGCTCTAAACCGGCTCTGTCTCGTCCTGAACAACTCCTCCATTCGCAGTGGCCGGATCGCTCCGAATATGTCATCTGGGTCAACTGTGCTTTGCGTTTGCAACGCCTGTCGGAGCTCCGGTGACTGGGCCCAATCAGGAGGATCAAACGTCCGTGGCCGATCTTCATCTTCCGAGTCAGAGTACTCGCTGTTAATGTCAGGAAGTTCAATACTCTCGCTAGGAACTTCAGGTAGCTGTTGCTTAGCTGCCCGTATCTGGGCCATCGCACGTGCTGCCATCTGATTCTGCACCATGGCGGACGGAAGCTTATCTTCGTTCTCCTGTGGTGCAACCTTAGCTTTTCCCTTGGGAGGACCAACTTTGGTAGATTTCACTTCGGTAGCTGCAGATTTAACTGCTGATGACCCAGCAGCATTCTGCGAGGCATTGTAGGTCGCAGAAGACACAAGCGCAGATGACGCGGGGACCTTAATGTTCTTGGAAGCAGAAGCAACTTTTGCTGCAGGAGTGACCAAACTGGATTTCGCCAACTTGGAAGGAAGAGTATCCTTCTTGTCTTTTGAAGGCGGCTTTTTAATTTCGGGTTTCTTATCGTCGATGGTGATCTTTCGCTTCTTTGTCGCGTCTTCCTCCGTCTTCTTAAGTACAGCAGCTTTGAGAGGCCGCTTTTCCGTAGTCTCGTCGCGCTCGCGTTTGCGCTTCTCGGATTCCTCTTTGATCTTTTTTTCCTCCTCAACAGCACGTGACTTCTCTTCATCTGCTTTGCGAGCAAGCGCTGCCTGGCGCCTCGCCTCCATCTCCTTGAGACGGGTGGCCTTTTTGTTGGCTTCTTCTTCTTGCTATACAACACTTTGAGTCCCACGAAACACTCGAGGTAAGGGTGAACAAGATACCTTCTTCGCAGCAGCAGCTGCAAGCTGTAGGCTCTTAACCTCTGGCTTGGCCTTTTTGCCCGTACCAAGCATACTATTGACGAGCTTTGTGGCTTGACCGAAGAATCCAGCCTGTGACTGCTGGGAAGACGAAGACGTCGAAGCCATGGATAGTTGGCTCTCGCTTCGCGGAATGCCACCAGACTTCGGTTGTTACTGTGAGTATTAAGAATACTGACGATTGAATTGTACATGCCTCGATAAGAGTAATAGTCGGCTGGCCAGCCTTGAGGACATTGCCCAGATCGCTCGTATACATAATTGACTCTGGGTCGGCTTCTGGTTCGGAGACATTGGATTCATTGTCCTGAAGCTGAGCCGCATCATCATGTATATCCATGGGAAAGGTACTGGGGATTACGGGCCCCTCATCTCGCTGCACTGCATTCTTCGCTGAATTACCAGTCAGGTCACTTCTGGTTTTAGTGAGTCCCTGAGACTCGGTAGGAAGTGAACTCCATGTCATGCTGTCCTCCTTGTTATTGAAGTTGAAAGCAGTCCATCCCTGTTCGCTTGCGGCCAACTTCTCCTCAAGAGGCCAACTATCATCATCGTCATCTTCCAGTGTAGCAAATTTTGCCCGATGAATCTGGGATTCTGAACCATCTGTGTATTCAGCGTCTTGGGTAGAGGGCACCCAGGCTGGAATGTCCTCTACTTGATCAAAGACAGCATCCGACAATGTGTTTGATTGCGAAGATTGTTGCATACCGCCTGCCTGTGGAAGACGCGACGAAGGAGACGATGTAAGTCTTGCCGCTAGACCCAGGGATATTGGTGGAGGAAGCGTAAAGGTTGTTGCTGGCAAATTGAAAGAGAATTCTTTGGCGAGGGGTGCGATCTGCTTCAAGATAGGAGGCATGAACACTGGAGGAGGTTGCCTATTAAACACTGGACCAGGAGGAGGAACGAAGCTGGAGCCAGAAGTACGAGTGGGAGGTGGGGAGTTGGGTGGGGTTGTTGAGACACTCTCATCCGCTGCAGACGCAGATTGAAGGGCTACCGGGCTCTCATTAGTCACGATGTCAGAGTGAACATCTTCAGTTGCCGGCTGGGATTCTTTAGCGTTTAGCGTGGAGAAGTCTTCTGACTCCGTGACCTGTTCTTCGTTGATCTTGTTCCTCTCTGCTACTCTCGCTTCTGCGGCAGCACGAGCTTCAGCAAGTGCAGCGGCTGCCACACCACCACCGAGGGACTTCCCCATGCTTTTACCCGCGCGAGCACCAAGACCTTCAACTGTACGTTTGAACACCCCAATGAAACTAGCTTCTTCCTCCTTGTCGTTCAGTGGTTCCCAGTGCTCCTCAGGGAGATGCACAGCTCTAGTCGGCACCAGGATGGATGAAGGAGTCTGAGTCGGCATAGCTGCCCCCTGGTTCAAAGGTGGGTCCTTCAAATTTTGTGGAGCAGAATCAGACTCGGAGGCCTTGGCCACCTTCGCTTTACGCCCCTCGCTGGTCTTGTCTGAAGCTAAGGGTGCAGCAGCCATGTCACCACTTTTCCGCTTCAAAGGAGCAACAATGTTGCCAGAGGGACCCATTGCGCCGACACCAGGGCCGAGAATGCTTGTCTTGTTATGCACGATGCCTTCCATGGCTTTCACTTCTCTAGCCTTCATTAGCCACGACGTACGTTTGCCCAGTGCGGAAGGTTGCGCTTGTGCTGGAGCAGCTGACGCAAAATTCCCAGCGCCCGTAGATGGTTCTCTTACGACGCGCATCGACTTACGTAGAGGAGATGGAGCGCGAAGTGTTGGAAATTGCGGTGCGCTGCTCTTGTGCGCAAGAGTACGAGACGGCGAGTCATTAAGTGGAACTACCATAGTAGTTGAATCAGGAGCGGAACTGGACGCAGGTAGAATGGGCAGCGGAGCTGTCAATGCATCCCTGACATGCGTGATCGGAGAGCTGACTGCTGGTATCTGCGGAAGTGGTTGAGTGTGATTGCCAGTGCGTACCTCTCGAACGTGGGTATGTTTCGGTGAGTCAAGGGGAACAGAACGCAAGGCGTCAGGTGGTGATACCATCGTGTCCTCTACCTCTGGGGCTGGGTCATCCTCTACTAGATCCGGATCATGACTGACACGCTTGCCCACAATCGTGCCTGCGGGCTTGGACTGAGGAAGAACTTGCTCAGCACAGTCACTGTCTGCATGAGAATGCGTGGACTCCGCGTTCTGCTTGGCGTGAAGAAGTGCTTGATGAAAGCTGTTGACAGGTGGCTGATTCTCCTTGCATATGTCCTCCTACAGAACAGACATTTTTCTCAATACATCAGTCTTCAAAGAGAAGAAATACCTCGAGAGACGAAAGAGTGGAGTTTTGCGCCTTTGCAGCTGCTGAAGTGGCTGCTCTGGTTCGCTTGGGTGCGGCTTTCTTTCGAGCAGGTGTCTTGACGAGGTCGATAATGGCTCTACAGATGCTCAGAGTAGAGAAAAGGGTGTATCAGTTCACGCACTCTTGCTTTGGGCCAGCCAAGATATTCTCGAGGTAATCGTCTAAGAAGATAAAGCCGTGTGTTTGGACTTGGTCCTCGAATAATTGCCGACATGGATCCTTTGCCATAGACATGCGAATAGAAGTTGTCCATGCTACGATTCCGGGCGCTGGGTGCGCCATACTTGCCTTCGCGTAAACTGTGAGCAATTGAAGGGTATTCGGCGTTCGCAGTAGTTGAGTAGCTAGCACCAAACAATGCATCAACAACGCGCACATCACATGACTGCAACAAATTCGCGCCATAAGTAGCAACTTAGTCAGACTCGAGTTTACGATTTTCAAGTAAATAGACATAAACAGTAAGTAGATGCTAACTTACTATTGTGTGAATTAAGGCAAATAAGGAGCAAATGAGGAACTTGATGCTTTCCTGATGCTAAGGATGAATATTAATGCTTAACTATCTCAGTCTGGTATACCGTCATAGCAATCCTCTAACATTTCAAGGTCCTCCATGAGTACCTGTAACCCTTCAAGAAACTCCGCCCTTCTTTCTGCTTTTTTTCGGTCAAACAACCACGGGCAGTCAATGTTAATGCACTCAATTGGCTCTGCATTTGCGGATGACGCGCACGATGCGCATACCCGTTGTGCATCCAGGAACCGGCCTTCTCCTTTTCGTATTTGATCAAGGATGGCGGGCATTGTTTCTCGGGGCATTCTCCGACACCTTTCGCATATTCCTGTCGTGAATTCATTAACCTTGAAGAGAGGCAAAAGATAAGAATGCCTACCGTCTGAAGACAAGCCACCGCATGCAAGACACTGGGAACTCTGAAAATGTTCATCTATCTTCAACCGATTTGCTGCGATCCTCTGTTTTTTGGGAGACATTGCAAGAGGATTTGGATTATCGACTCGGATAGCCTTCGGCATATCGTCAAACCAAGTTCTGACGTCAGCACCTATCAGATTGAAAACACGTTCGAGCGGTGGAATCAGAACGCGGGATATGTAATATGAAGCGTCTAATTGCATGTGCCTAGATTGTGGTTAGCAGCAGTTCGGATTCACAGCAAAAGCAAAGATAAAGGGCGCACTTATGTTGCAATAATTCTTCTGGGGACACCGCCCTGTCCACAAGCCGCGCCTGGGGACCACCTCTTATGATCACGTATGGAATCCGGTCGCCATATTGAACCTCGTCGTTCTCGTCCTCTATCATTCTTCGAGCGGCAACAGCTACCCCTGGTGGAGGTGGTGCCTTTTCACTGATGTAACCTCGTTCCAGTACATGTAATGCATCAATAGATTTTCACGCACGAATATGTCCCCATCTTGACTTCCTTTGCAAATATGAAATCTTGTATTGAGACTTGGTTTTGAAGAATTTTAGTCCATGACTGGTAGCAATAGTCCTTTACTTGACTAAGATCCTGGGTACGGAATAAAATTCTTGCCGCGAATTTAGGCAAGGGTTCGTGTCGCGAGAATACAAAAACATACTCACTTCAAACACGTTTCTGTCATTTTTGACTGAGCAGGTACCCCATCACGACGGACAGTTTCGATCCCCTTCGCATCGAATGCGGGGACAGTCTCGTCTGGATTCTCAAATTTGAATCCAACATATCTTTTCTTCGCCATCAATAGACATGGCAAATACACCTAGTCTAAACATTAGTAGTCAACTCGTTTATCTCGGAATGTATAGACCTTTTCAAATTTCAATTTGATGGGTGCTGGATTCATCGCCGTAATCGTATCCGCGATATCATAGCCGATGTGGAAAGCCTGCTCTTTTGTCTTCCCTTGAAGGTATATGAACAGGGAGTCCGTGTCCCCGTAAACAACTCTAGCTCCCCATTTAGCATTGCTATCGATGACTTCTATAGCCTGACTCCACTTTCAGGCTCATACAAAACAACATGGCTGAAATACCAACCTTTTCCAAGGTTTCTCTGCCGCTTTGTACGATACTGTCTGCAATCTCAACAGCAGGCATACGGCCAGAGTATGTTGCGCCTGTATATCCATAGGTGACATTAGCGATGTATTTCAAACTGAGCTGGCGGGCGTTCAGAACTCGACTAAGTGCCTGTGTGACCATGGTTATTGTAGTCAGAATTGACGACATACACATTACCTTGTCAGTTTTCGAACCCTTCATCGCCTGTTTGACCATTACTCGGGTGTCCAACAACTCCGTGAGCATGCGCGCAAGTAAACCCTTCCTCACTTCAGGCTTCACGTACATAATGCCATTCGGCGCGACTATAGCCGAGAGCTTAAGACGAGCATGAAGCCCACAAAAGAGATAACTGACCTATTATGTGGTCTTGCAAGTTTTCCAAGAGTCCATGTGGTCTTTGGAGATCCACGACACCAAACCTGTTACGACCCTGGAAGTCGACTATTCTCCCGAGGCAGGTTGAGTAGCAATAATTGTAAGCAATCATAATTGACGGATAAAGTGATTGGAAGTCGAGCACGACGACAGGTCCGTTGTAAAAGGCGGAGAGGGGTTCCATAATGAGAGGCATACATTCTGCAGCATTTTGTTTTCCAACCTAAAAGACGGTGTCAACTGATTTCGAAGAATGGTATCATTCGGACTCACATCCTGTTTGCTAGGAGATAGGAGAACAAAGCTTTCTGGCTTCGCAATGCGGAACATGAATGACTCTACTTTAAACTGTGAGCCTCGACTGATTACGGAGTAAAAGTCGACTCCAAAGACACGCGCAAACTCTCTGTTGGCGCCGTATATGAGGACTTGAATTGGATTGGATTGAAGACTCACGCATTTTTTGTGGTTGTTTCGGCTTCTTGGAGGATCTCCAGTGTCAATATCGTCCGTTCAAGGAAGTAGCGAAGGACACGGGAGGTGTGCACGGGATCTGTACTATTATACCAAGTCGTTAAAACCTCAGGAGTATAACGAGGGACCCTGTGCAGATGAGCGGTGAAATAGTGGTGATGGATTTGGTCAGCATACCTTCTACGCAGTAACTGGAAGGCCACATTTTCGAAAGAATATATGGACAGTGTCTGCTCAACTCGCATAATTCTCCAGACATTGAACACATGCCGACCAGTGACCTTGAACGTGGTTGTTGTCCTCTGGCTCCATTGATAGTTTCCTGCAGCATCATTCTTGTTAGGAGCTCGAGATATAAGCTCGCCAATGTCAAAACCTTCACATGTATTAATTACCAAAAATTGGAAAAGACCTTGCACGAACCATAATGGTTTCCTCGAGCACTGAGATAGCCCCAAGATGCTGATTGAACATTCCAGCCGACGATGATATCCGGATCAAAGTCAACTACTATGTCAACCATCCGATTGAGTAACTCCAGTTCGTCAGCGACAATCTCCAACGGGAAATCGCGTATTCGACGAGGATCCAGTTGCGCATTCTTAACTGCCAGGATGCCTCGTTCGTGAAACACTGAATGAATATTATCATCCCCGAGAGCAAAGAAGATTGCAACAATCCCGTCAACATTTGCGTCAGGTACTTTATTACCACGTGAAGGAGCTAACAACGAAGGTGAGCACATGGCAAATGGTCATTTCGGGGCTTACCAAACATTTCCAGGGAAAACAAGGACATGTGCTGGGCTGCTCTGGTGTTGGAGTCAGATCGAACATGTGGCATTGACTTCAGGCCATAGGGATTCATTTGGGTACTGCTCTCAATCTATATAACCTCTCATGAGATGTTGCTTTGACATAGTAAATTCAACTTACCTGAGAGCATATCCTGGCCCTTGAGGCCCGCTGAACTGGGTTTTCTTTTAGCCACCTTTTCATTTGAGTTTTACTCGGAGGCAGGGCTGCATACTCCCATCCCCATGACAGAGACGTGCCTTTCAAACGACGCACATTTCTTCCCGTATGAAGCTGACTTCCATGAGACTTCCATTGGTCCAGGGCGTTCAGTCCCTCCCCGCCTTTAAGGTGATACAGTAGACCTGCGTATTCTCTGGGGTGCTCTGGAGCATCTGCACGCTTGGAGTAATAAGGATTACGATAAAGCCTTCGGGGGATACCGTATGTCTCAATAGTCCTGAAAAGTTCAGAGGAGGATGGCGGTGGTACAGCGAATACGAATGCCGTGGTTGGGCTTGAGGTTGGTGGTATATGTCTTGAAAACGAAACTCTTGGTAAGGTCGGCTGTAAAATGCTTTCAATGCGTTCAACGCGATCGTCTCGGCGTTCCTTTCTTGTTTCTATTGACGTTGAGCGAATTGTAGGGCCCTGTGAATTCTTCGGCCTTCCTGATACATCAATCGACTGTTCACCTCGAAATAGGAATGGGTTTTCTTCGATATCGCATCCAACACTATTATCAGCTGAATTAGATGAGCCAGGGGATAATTCTCGCTGTGTTGCGGGCTCTATAGGAACCATAGATGGTAGCGCATGTCTGCTTGCAACCATTCAATACTGATCGATATATGGTAGCTTCAACAATTACATCATCGGTGTAGTCGCATCGTAGGCGACCTCGTTACTGATGTACCGCATTCTCCTAAATATGCACAAATGAAAAACCCTTCCATGGAAGTAAGTGTGCTCACTTGGCAGGAGTTGCTGAAAGCTCTGAAGATGCTGAAAGACTCCTCGCTCGTTTGCAGCTGTTCTCATTTAAATGATGACTTTTAAAAGAAGGAGTTGCCTACATTTCCAGATCACGCCATGAATGTCGGAATGAATTTGTTCGGGGAAGTTCCCGCGTAGGAGAGCCGAGTCTGCTGAGGCAAGTATGAGCACACGAGCATTGGAAAATAAGTGATTGAACCTTTCGTTCCCATCAGTTGTAGCTTCAGCCTCGCCAGAGGGATTGGGCACATCCATCCCAAAGTCTGTAGGAGGCCCTTCTTCGGCCAACTGATCATCAGCAGCAGCGTCAGGTTCTGCAATGGTGTCCCCCGCCTGCAAGTCCGCCCACTCTTGGTCTTCGCGATCCATCAGTTGACTCATCTCCTGTGTAGAAAGTAACATCTCGTCGACATCGACATCCGTGCTTTGCGGTGGTCCTTCCCGATTTATCGAAGACCCATACTGTGTCGCTTGTGCAAAAGGATTTTCGCTGTCCCCGGCTTCCAAAATATGAGTGCTCTGTCCATTATGACCAGTGGCCTCTTTACGAGCTGGCCTCCAAGTTCTCCACTCAGCCTCCCAGAAGGCTTCTACACTCTCAAAGGTAGTCATCACCCATTTCTCCCAAAGTCCCGCACCGTCTGCGAAAGTGGGCTTGAGGTCTCTTTCTTTTTCAATGCGTTTTCTGACTTCCTCCCACCACCTCATTTCCGCAACCCATTCACCTCCATGGCCCCTCGACCTCTTGCTTGAATCAATAGAAAGCGCAGGGGTTGGAGAGAGGCCCTTGGCAAGTCTTCGACGTCTTTCGTCATCCCACAGCTCACGAACACTCAGAACAAATGGTTCAGAAGGTAAAGGCGGTGAGGGTATTTCCAATTTGTGGTGGATGTTGCGTGCGGATAAAAGACGGCGGTTTAAAATTTGATGAGCAGCAACATCAACTTCAAGCGGCATGCGGGATTGACGAAAGTATGGTGATATCTTGAATGTTGTTGGCTCCGTTATTTCAGTATCGTTTTCTTCGTGTCCTCGTTGCCAGACCTCCGCGATATTCATCCAGCCACATCCATAGAGCCCGAAATCGCACATGAACTGCAGGATGTAGCTCAAATGGCTTTCGTAAACGCGGAAGCGTGTTCGCATAACAGTTCCGGACTGCAATATAGTGACAGCACGATTGACAAAGGCGGGGTCTGCAATAAGAATCTTCAAGAACGGCGTATAAGAGGAGTGAAATCCATAGAAGTGAACGCCTTTCACGAGAAGTACACCCCGAACAAACTGTGATTTGCGCGAGTGTGGATTGCGCTTCATCGAGATGGCGATAGCATGGTTCAAAGAACGAGATAACTTTACGATGTACTGGTTCACTGACTGGAGTCAGCACGAAAACATCCGGAATTAACTGAATCCACATACCATTTTCGGGACTCAATTTACCCTCATACTCAACAAAAAAATAAGGGTACACTTGATGCACATGTACACATGCTTTCGTTCCTGTGGACGATGCGCCATAAATACGGATCACAGGCACTCGAGGGAGAGATGTGTTGTCGAGAGGGCCAGGGGAGGCCACAGTGTAGTCAATTTGGTTGATGAGTACTCGGAGTGTAGCCTCCTGCTCCATAAAAACTAATTGTTGTACAGTATGAACAGCGTGGAAGAAATGTCGCTCAACGCATGCACTGAACGCAAGTATCAGTGAGGGGCCCTACTGGCGGCTCGAGTTAGACGTGGACGCGCTTGTCACATGCCAAAAACATAGGTTAAGTCACATGTTCAAGCAATGTTCAAGTTCCTGCAGCTGCACTTGAGCTGCACACCTACAAAATCTACTAATAATCTCTCTCTTTCACTGGTCTAATGGTATTGAATAAGTGCGCGATTCATAACGACTAATCACAACTGATTGATCCTCCTTTCATGGTGAATGACAGATATAACTTGCTGCCCAATCCACGTCTTGCCTGGCTCTATCTTCGCAAATCCCCTCACATAACCCGGCTCGACACATACATACCTTTCCCTACGGGGTGTTAGCATCCAAATGCATTAACCAGTATAAATGCTCACCATCCCCCATCTTCCATGTCTCCCATTTTCACACCTGCAACCTGCTGAGGGTTCCAGACAACAACGTCCTTTAGCTCCCGAACCGTAATCTCTACACCACCTCCTGGCCACGTGACTTCATATTTGCCCCCTGCATCTTCGTACACAGAGTCAGTGAACTGACGAACGTCAACTCCTGCTCTAGTCTCGACTTTCGGTTTGTTTCTGGCTTCTTCAGATGCCTCTGTTTTGTCAAAATAACTTTTGCTTTGCAATGGGAAAACAAGGACGTCATTTGCAGGGGCCTTGATATAGTTGTGGAACAAAGCCTGGAATTCGAGATTGTCTGGTGGGTAAGCCGCGGAGGTCGACGTATTCGTGACGTGCAGATCAGTACTAATCTGATGCTCAGCCAGGGTAACGATATAAGCCAGATGGAATGGTTTATCGTATTTTGCTGTGATACCCGCAGTTGGCTCAAGCGCTGAGAGAAAATATATCAAGCGACACAAATCCAGTGAGATGGTACTTACTGAGTCTCACGGATACCCCCTCGTCGTTGTCCATTACAATGCTATCGAATTTCCACACCTCATTTCTGGCAAAACCATGCTGGGCAAGTTTCATGTGCTCTGGGTGGCTGGGAGGTCCGAAGCAAGGAAATATAACTGGGATACCTCCCCGCACGGGCTTTGAGCCATCAATAGCGGATTTGGATGAAACAAATAGCCGCTCAATTGGCTGAGGTTCGGTGATGGTTCCAGCCTTCCATGAAATGACTGTCGCACCGTACAGAAGTAGTTCCGCAGAGGAACCCTATTTCAGGAATCAGGGATGTCTACTTTTAGTCTGGTCTATCACGGACCTTTGCATGAGTCAAAGTAACTCGCCCAGAAACCTGTTTGACTGGCATCTTCGAAGTAGATGGTGAGATTGAGGGACTGAGTTGGCAACTATGAGATATACCCCCTGGGATTACCCTGGGAGGAGGCTAGCGGCCCGGCCCCCGCGACTAATCAAAAGCCTGCCCTTAGGTAGAATCGCTTACTTTTCTACCTTGTTCTTACTTTGTCACTGTCAACTCATGACATACACCTCTCCCACTGTCGACACCTCTTTCACACTTCCTGACTCCCGAACGAGATTGTGTTTATGGTCGGGCCAGGTCGGCCGAGAAAGAAGCCCTCTTATCGGCTTCCTCTGCGATCCTTTCGCGGCGCGGCAGTGACTCTTCAAATAGGTAGATGCATATGCCGTCACATTCGCCGCAGACCAAAGTTGTCCTGAATCGTTGCTGACTTCCTGTTTGTTCAGCGTCTCCAGCTGATATGTTTTCGATTTTTTACTTCTTATCGGTGCTGTGGCTGCTTTGCTACATCCTCTGAACTTTTGCCATACTGTCATGGCGTCACCTGTTCGTTGTAAATTTTGACGAATTGCTACTATCACAACACACATGATATCAAAGGTCAAGGCGCCTTGTCTCATCACACCCAATGACTCTTCACTTTGACACCTTCGGCGTGGTTAATTCGTGCGTTTGTATGCAGCATTATCCTTCTTGCCCACTTGACAATTGCGCTATCACGAAACTCGTGATCAAAGGACCAAGTTACCTTTTTTCGTTGCACACGATGACTCTTCGCCTCGATGCCTCCGGCGTGGTTTATCGGTGCATCGATGCGCCCGCGTGCAGCATCGCCCGCCTTGACGGTTCGATATGCATTATTGCGCCATGCTATAGTCTATACCTGCACAGAAAGGTGCATCACGCAGCTATATCATACACTGCCTATCCCGCATGGACAAGGAATACTCGTACTACAACTGTGGTGCTATATTGCAAAAAGGCACATGAAGTGCTGCTCGCAGGGCAAGTCATGGTCAAAGCATACGAGGACGATTCAACAAGGTTTATCGATGCTTCCGTACTTCGTGCGGTGTGACTCAGTCTCGCTGAGTTTATAACCAAGGACATGGATTTACGGTCTCATAAACTCGGTGTACACCTTGACGTCAAAATGCTGTTACATACTGTCGATCCGATGAGGCTAGTTTCGAGCCAGGTCTCGCTTTACTTTGAGTTGCCTTGGGTGTATGTGGATCTCTGTGTGCATGCACACAGCGAAGTGGAAGCCCGTTGGGAGTATTCTGCCGAGATCGGTACTGGTTGCAGAACTTGCCAAAGACTATGGGTGCCTTCCGCTCTGGAACGGGTTGAGATTTTATAGATTTATATGGAGCCCTTGCGGGTGGTGGCTCATGGTTTATTGGGTTGTGAGTTATTGTGTATGATTGTCCGACACTGATTCAATACTAACGATGGGATATTACAGGGACTTGCAACCCGGATGATGGTGCCCCTCCGTCATCGCGAGGTAGACCTCATGGCTTGCGTCATGGTCTGTCGTTTCAACTGAGCCGTTGGGCATGCTGTTGATGATTATCGCATACTTTTTCTATTTCTCTTCTTCGTGAAGAGGTTACAGTGGACGAATATCTTTTAGTCGGAGGTTAACTGCTTTACCCTCTATATGTACAACAGGATCCGTGATGAAGTTGTTCTTGATTTTAGGTATTGAGTGATTTGTCTATTATCCCTCGTGACGGCCCTTGGGGCTAGGTTTGTTGGTGCAGTGACTAGCCTCGTTCCACCCGGGAAGGTCCTTAGTTTAAAGGCCAGTATGAAATTATGACGGCACTACTTGGTCAGTTCCGATTCCGTCAAATGTCTCACGAGTACCAGCTCTCGAAGTCGGGCATCAGTACGATAGGCTAGTACTTGCTTCAGCGACGTCCCTACGGGTAGCATGGAGTCAGTGCGATCATCATATTTCTGATATTCTGCACTGGGTAGTTATAGTTGCAAACTTGAACGATAAATATTGGCCTGGTGATTGAATTAAATGCACCTCAGGCTAAACAAAGATACACCCTTCATCTTAATCAAGCTTAATCAAGGACAGATCACTTGCCCTCAACGTTTAATCGCTAGACTCATCACACTTTCCAACACAACCATCTCCAGCCTTGCAACTCTTGTAGAGGTGTAGCAGGCTAGCATCTGACTTATTAAACAGTAAGAAGCCCCCGCGTGATTTCTCAACTGGGACTGAACGTCTCTTGGTACAGCGCCACTGCGATGGAACCCGGATACACCATGGAGGACGTGAGTCTCATCATCAAAATTCCATGGTGAACAACATGAAAGTAACACATCATTGTTGCAGATTGCACCTATTGCCGTTCTAATGGACGAGCTGCGCTCGGAAGACGTTCAACTACGCCTCAACGCTATTCACAGCATACCCACGATTGCACTTGCTTTAGGGCCAGATCGTGCCCGTGACGAGCTTGTTCCCTTTTTGCAAGATTCTGTCGATGATGAGGATGAGGTACTACTGGCTTTGGCCAAAGAGCTTGGAAGGAATTTTGAGGAGTACATTGGTGGAAAGCAATTCGCTCATGTGCTGCTAGGCCCCCTGGAGAATTTATCCGCAGTAGAAGAGACCCTGGTACGGGATAAGGTGCGCGTCCTCAAGAGATGTTGCTGGATCGATTGGTTAATAACTTATACTTTTGCCACCAGGCTGCAGAATCTATCGCCAAAATAGCCGAAGTTCTATCTACTCCGCAAATCGAAGAGTTTTACATCCCACTCCTGAAGCGGCTTTCACAGGGCGAATGGTTTACATCACGCACTTCTTCTGCTGCACTGTATCCTCCAGTTTACAACAAAGTATCGTGGTCAATCCAGGAGGATCTCCGGAAGGGCTTCGCCGCTCTGGGTGCAGATGATACACCTATGGTCAGACGTGCTGCAGCAAAGTGGCTCGGGGTGCGTAATATATATTCCGTCTCTGCGTCGATTGAAATACTAACTTTCTGGCAGCCATTTGTTAAAAACCTGTCAAAGCAACATGTCTTGTCGGATGGGCTACCTATCTACCGCAGACTTCAATCCGATGATCAGGATTCTGTGCGCTTACTCACAGTAGAAGATCTTATTGTTATCGCGAAGCAACTTACGCCACCTGAGGTGAAGGAGCAGCTGTTGAAGCAAATTAGACACAGTATTGCTGATAAGAGCTGGCGAGTGCGATATATGGCTGCAACACATTTTAATGAGGTGCGTCCCTGATGCCAAATTCTACGTTTATCTGGGTACCATAATTCATATTGGCGTTTAGCTCGCAGAAGCCGTCGGCACAGAACTGGTTAGGGAGGAGTTAATAGGGCAATATGTGCAGCTTCTGAAAGATAACGAGGCAGAAGTACGCACAGCGGCTGCAGGCCAAATTCCAGGTATGGTAATCGATACTACTATAGAATATTGCTTGATTCCGCCCTCGACTTTCAGGGTTTTCGAAACTGCTCGAGAAGGAAGTCATCCTTGCACGCATCGTGCCTTGCGTGCGTGACCTCTCGCATGATGCGTCTCAGCACGTGCGAGCCGCTCTTGCAAACCATATCAGTGGCCTTGCACCGCTCTTGGGCAGAGATGCTACTATAGAGCATCTCTTACCCTTGTTCCTTCATCTTTTAAAGGACGAATTTCCCGACGTTCGCCTCAATGTCATCAGTAAGCTCGAGACTGTAAATGGTGGTAAGCTTCCTGCTCGTTTGCATGCGAATAGCTCTCTGAAATTGCTATTGTCAGTCATTGATATTGAACTCCTGTCTGATAGTCTCCTTCCCGCCATCATCGAGCTTGCAGAGGATAAGTCATGGCGCGTCAGACAGGCTATCATAGAATATATCCCCCTTCTCGCAACACAACTCGGAAAACCTTTCTTCGACGAGCAACTTGGGAACCTGTGCATGTCATGGTTGGGTGACACGGTCTTCAGTATACGCGAATCTGCAACCATTAACCTCAAGAAACTGACGGAAGTCTTCGGCGTCGATTGGGCGAAGGTTCAGATTGTCCCTAAGGTTATGGGTATGGGGCAACATCCAAATTACCTCTACAGGATGACCACCGTGCAAGCGATCACAGTACGTGCTTATCTTTGCTAGGCTGCAGCGATTTGAGTGGAATTTTCAAATTGTAGACTATCGCACCTTCCCTGAATCTTGCAATTGTTCAAGCTGAGATTATCGGGCCGCTCCTGCAGCTTGCTGAAGACCCCATCCCGAACATCCGCTTCAATGTCGCAAAGTCTCTAGAAGTCCTTGCCACTACATATGGAAATACTACGGAGGGTCGCGAATTTGTCCGTAAAAGCATTGTTCCGGTACTAGAGCAACAGAAAACAGATTCTGACGCAGACGTACGTTACTTCGCCGCACGTGCCCTTCAAAAAGCGTCAGCGGATATGTTAGGCAAGTGTTGAAAGTACGAAAAAATCATCCGTGGTGTTGACCTCTGTAGCACAGGTTGATTAGGCGATCTTTGCAGTCTACACATACCCCCTCCCTTTGAGTCTTTTTCTCGCACTCACGAACATTCCAAGAGAATAAATAGTAGTGTACCTTCTTTTGTGCTCGATGAATCATGAACTGCAGACAAAACACTGCCTATTATGCTCCCCGTACCAATGCGCAGCACATGGGATTACATTGGCGAAGACTGTTGATTGTCAGATTCTCTATTGCACACAACGCGTGCCGAGTCTTCCTTAAACTATATAGAAACTGTAATGCATTGGGTACCGCATGATCGGGCTCCCAGTAAGAAAATATGTCGTACGTTAATGTTACGCGCCTTTGAGAAGCTTGCTCACGATTCCGTAGATCAAGTGGAACTGTATTTCTTAGATTAATAGTGGCCATTAGGCGTTACTCGTAGTGTCATGACCCGCGCCCAGATCTCATGTGAAGAGGTTTGAACCTAATCTTGCGGGGTGAATTGCTTTTTATCACGTGATATCGGCGCGAGGTGGGGGGAGCCAATCAGAGACGAGGTTTGATTAATAAGGTTTGGCGATCTAAATATTAGGGTATAAGAACGCGTCTCACTAGATGAGTTGCACTTTTGCCTCCTACCACAACTATCGCAAGTCTGGGAACTTGTTTGCCACATTGTTCCTCTAGTTTTATATCTCTTATAACTTCAGCGCGAGTCGCTTGTCTTAATATCTACAACTCTTCTCCACGCTCCTTTTAATACCACTCCTTCAATATGCCGGTCATGCGTTCTCTCCTTGTCTTCCTGCCCGCCGCCGCCATGACGTTGATGATTAGCACACCCTTCGCGGTACAGCATGCCCTGGCCAAACCAATCTCAATGCCGTCTTCACCAAAGGCCTTTGACGGGTTCGCGAACATCGCTGCCAGAACGGACAAGTTATCCACGCCTAAGCATCTAGCTTCTCATACTACAGCCATACAAGCTAAGTCACCGAAGGCGCCATCGCGGATAACGGCAGGGCATACAGAACGTAAAGCCGCCAGGAGTGTTCCACACGTGCTGCGTGAACCGTCTGCTGCTAGTGCTCATGGAAGCTCGAACGCGTCGAGCGGCAAGCTTGCTCGTCTACGAAGATATCACCGTCAGGCTTTGCAGCACGCCGCAAATTACCGTACGTTGGTAAAGTGGGGATTGTTTGTGGCCTTTACTTATCATTTTCGTATAGACAACCTGGCCTCAAATGCAACGTCTGCGTCCGCTTCCGACCCCGCATTCCAACAGCAGGCCTCAACAGAGCTCTCTGGATTCAATACGAACTTTGTGGGCTTCACTTCTGTTCTAGCAGAACTTGGCGGTGACAACGGCGTCGCAAACCTGGATCCCACCAACAATCTAGAAACCTTGCTAGAGAGCATTATCAACGCCAACAAAGACATCCTCACGGTCACTTACAACCTTGTTGTCTCATTGCCTATTGTCGGCCCGATCTTGGGTCCCAGTAAGTCCCAGTCATCTTTTATGTGCGTAGCGGCTATGAATTGTCTTTCTAGTCGTATACGATCTCAAATGTACTCTGGACGACCTCCTGGACATCGTCGAGAATCTGACCGATGCTATCATCAATGCGATACAACCCCTCCTTCAGGCTGTTCTCGGCAAGGCTGTTACCGCGACATGCGCGTCTGGCGTCCAGGTTGTAGGTCTTTGCATATAACATCGGGTTAGACTCGATTTCTTCTATAACTACAGACTATATATCTATAGAACACACGCGTTGACACTTCTATTAGAGCACGCGTACAGATTTGTTTTGTACTTACCTTGCCACTGTATTATCACGGACTTCCTCATGCTTTTTAAACTATCTATGCTGTTCGTTCGACTACCTCCCTGAAAAGACGAAATAGTCCATTATCATGGATTTCGATTAAAGTATACAAGGATGTCTTACATAAATCCGTGTGATGCTCTATGAAATGAGTTGTTCGACTGAAAGTGAGCTCGATTCTGCACATAGTATATGTTACATTCACCACACCGTGTGCGCATTTCTTTCTGTCAGTCAGTCCTGTTTTACACACATGCGGATGAGTAATACAATGCAGGCCTGTAACTGTGGTGTAATCGGGAGGTCAGGCGTGGGTTCTCCGTACAACATCAATAATGGGTGCTTTAGAGAAGGAAAGTGTTCCTTGTCCTTCACAAAATTGTTGATCTGCAGTGTGCGTGTCCCAGTCCGCCCGTAATCAACTGCGTGAACATAGAAAAATACAGTGGCTTGCACCCACTGCGTACTGTTGCTCGAAAGGGGCCACCGCTTGTTATGATGGTTTCACGTATTCGTTGCTACATAGATAGAGGGTGTAATCCTGGTGTACATTGATGTTGGATGATATCGCGGAGGAGAGTAGCTCATTCCTCGAAGACCCATCTCTCAGCGAGCAGCCCGATTATTGGGATATGATAACGTGTGAGACCTCCGCGCGAAGCTCCAAGGTACGCCCGTACGCTGAAATGTGTGAACTCGGGACTCATATCGACTTTACGGATCACTTACGCCATGGAAAGTGCGGAAAGTGCGAATGAAATAGTGAGGAATGACCGCATCCATGAAGGAAACCCGAGTAGTGATGCAAATATGCGCACTAACAACAGGGGTGTCAATAGTAAGGCAGATTGGTAGGCTGTTAACGATGAGCTCAGTGGTAAGTCAGTAAGGAAGCGTGGAAGGTCACCGTGAAACCGAACATAATCGTTGTGAGTTTCCAGCACAAGTAATATCAAAGCTGAAGCAAATCATTACACGACGAAATAATCTCTTATACTTGTATAACTTACCTGAGATCGGACCCAAGATATATGCGAAGGCTGATAGAACGTCCACACGCATTCCATAACTCGTTTCCCACTGGTTCTGCTGAACATCTTCCTGAGTATCCTCATGCCCACTGATAGAATTGTTAAATGTAGGGAGACCGCCAGATTGATAGGATATCTCTGTTCCTCGTGAGGATGAGTGAACAGGAAACCATGACTGCGCTTTGGAGCTTGGAGACGGGGCTGATCGGTAGGAAGAGTCATCTGGTGGAGGGGTCTGCACACATGGGTACAATTCATTCATAAAGGCCTATGGAGAATACTTACATAGGGCGCGAACGAAGAGGCAAAGCTAGACGACATAACTCTATGATATCACAAGCCCGAGGGAGTCCAAGGCTAAGGAGCTATCCAACCCTTTTTGGCAATTGCAGGTGGCTGTGTACGGATTCTGCCGAACGGATTTCGATCTACTTACGCCTACACACACCATTTCGTCAAGACCCCGGGAAGAAAAGGTCGCAAAACGTCAAGGACGACAAGAATCATGGTGAGAGTTCCCGTCAAATGCTGCAGGTTGCTGTACTATGTCGAATCGTCGAAACCGAGCGAGATCTGCGGTCGGGAGATGATGGATGGTACCAATGCAGGTTGGATGTACTAAGCTTACGGTCTATGACTTTAGGCCGACAACACAGCACCCGTCACCCTTCGCGCCCGTAAATTCATCACCAACCGCCTCTTGGCGCGCCGTCAGTTCGTACTCGATGTTCTCCACCCATCGCGGGCGAACGTACCAAAAAACGAGCTCGCAGAGAAGTTGGCTACCATGTACAAGACCGAAAAAGCACGTGTAGTCTGCTTCGGTTTCCGAACACAATTTGGTGGTGGACGTAGCACTGGATTTGCGCTGATTTACGATGATGAGGCATCACAGAGGAGGTTCGAGCCTAAGCACAGACTGGTCCAGGCAAGCTTTTGTTCCCCCTACCGCACGACTACGGTCTCATTCTTTATCTAACTAGTCTGGCCTTGAAACCAAAGTTGACAAGCCTTCACGTAAACTGCGACACGAGAGAAAGAACCGCGCGAAGAAGGTACGACAATTTCTTCAATCATTATCGTATAATGGACTGATACACTTCGTCTGCAGGTCCGTGGTACTAAGAAGACTAAGGCTGCTGAGCCTGCTAAGAAGGGCAAGTAGACACTGCCCTCTCGTATTAGTCTATATTCCTTTCTTGCTCGAGTGCCCCCCTTATTATTAAGAACCAGTCGAGCGAGCTGTACCTATGGCGTATGTCACACTCACAACCACATTCATGAATCATATGCACATGCGGCTCACAAGCATTTCCATTGGAATCTGTGCGTTCGTAAGAGTATTGCAAAATCAGTTGATTATGTTGGGTATCGATGCAGTGGTAATATAGTTGAGCATAGAGTCCTACAAAGAGGGGATGAAACACAGTAAAGCTGAAGCTTTAGAAGCCGAGCTTCTTGTGGATAATATCCGGATCCTCTTGATACTCTTCTGCTGATACCCACATCTGTGGATATGTTTCAGAACTGCCAACATAGAACAGGTTGAGACCAACCTTCTTGAAAGTTCCAAGACCTGCAAGAATAGAACCACCTATCCACGTCGAGTATTTACGCTCCGGAGGGGCGTAAATCTTGATCTTAACATCCTTCAAAGCCAACTTCTTGATTTCGTTGAGAAGACGGTCGCCGAAACCTTTAAGAAGATGCTATCAGTGCGAGTGAGTTGCCTGCTAAAGCTTACGGACCTTTGCATAACGTGCTGCCTCCACTGAGCACAATATTCGAAAAGAGACTCTTCCGCAGATCTAAATCAACTCGATTGATGGAATCTACAACAACCTGATGAACACCGGCGTATTCCTGTCCAATGAGCTCTGGGTTAAACAAGATTTCAGGTGCGCGGAATCGCTCAGGTCCCAGCTGCAAGAAATATGTAATTGGCATCTCCAGACTAGAAGTTGGGAACTTACCTGAACTAGGTTTCCATCCGGGAGTCGGAACTCTTCAGTCCGACCCACCGTGTCTTTCTCCTCTTTGGAAGGATTTAGCGCGATATAACAGCACTTTTCCTTTATTATCCGAACAACTTCTCTTTCCGCAGTCGTGTGTAGATGATGGCCAGATTTTCTTAGCAGTAGCTGTAGATGGTCAGTTACATCTCTGTGTAATGCGATATATGAGGGTGTTATTCGACGGGAAGATGGACATCATACCTTCCGGCGACATCCACTCTTCGAATTGCGTGAGGCATGGAGAAACCCTCAAATACTGGGACAGCGTGTGTAACACCATCCCCAGAGTCGAGTACTATGCCAGTCGTTCGCCCTGAAGAATATCTATGGATAGTTCGAAGGGGCTAGAATAACTATGACAAGTATATAACTTACAGCGAAAGAACGGCCTGTACGGAGAGGAAGAGAGCTGGAACATTGAATGTGTCGAAGAATATCTGAGCGGCTACATCACGATTACTCCTTGGATTGAGCGGCGCTTCCGTCAAGAGAACTGGGTGCTTTCATGCATTCTGATCGGAACGTCCTGGCACCTATATTAGATAAAGGGACATACCTCTTCACTAAGGGTCCCAAGCTCTTCAGCATATATCCAACTCCATATCCGTTCCATGTCGTCCCAATCAGTTACAATACCATGTTCCATAGGGTATTTTATTTTGAGAAGACCGCGGAACTCTTGGGCGCGACGACCGATGAAGACATCACCTTCGAGGGCACCAGCCATGACGCGCACATGCTTTGGTCTCCCAACGCTAGAAATTCAAGTGATTGGAACCACGTGTTGGCCAGCATTGCGCTGTAAGAACGTACAATGACGGGAAAAAGCATTTCGGATGATCTTGACCCGCAAAACCTGCTTTGATAGTTCCTGAGCCCTGTTCAAAACCTGGTTGAGCCTACACGCGCCGAGCTGGAAGATGAGCGTTACATTGTCTATCACGACAGGTTGATTTGTTAGGACATCCTCAAATTCTGCCGACATCCCTGCAGTGATAATGAAGAAAAAAAGTTATTAAGGAAGTCTAAAGATTCGGTTTGACGATCAAATGTGAAAGCAGACGCGTTTGACCGTTTGAGCGTGTTTCTCACATAATATCACAGAATTCACCTCCTGGCCACTGCGCTTCGTCATGATACGACATGGTCCCACACGGCTTATTAGCTTTCTCTTTATTACGCTCATACTCAGCATCGTACGTCGAGTTAATCCTTATCTAACCGGGACCCTTCAATTAACAATTTTAGCAGGCGCCAGTCGAAGCTGCCATGAACAAGTGGGAGGTGACAAACTTCTGCAAATGCGAGTCCCTTGAACTTGATCATCATGCTGCAGTAACTAATCGCAATTTAGGCATCTGCTTCTCTGCCAACTATACGATCTTATCCCTGAACACGCCCGACAACCCCTCCAAACCTTGTCTATCGTGCACCAAGCAGTGGTGCTTGAATCAGAATCTGCCTATCTGCGCCGGTGCATCTCTTGGCGACACAGATCCAGACACTGCGACCGGTCTAGAGGGAGATGTGGAAGCGCGATGTTTTCGTGTGTCTTCAATTTCCTTGTGTCTGCCAACGTTAATTTGTCCCTACCAGAACGAGATTCTCCTAGGGACCAGCTTGTGGTTACCCTCTTTTTATTGACTATCCTCGGACTGTTACTTAGTGTCAGCATTAAAAACCGCATGCTCAAGGCCGGTGTGGATTCTAGTACGGCATGGTCTGCCAGCAGGCGCTGGTGGGAGGTTCATACAGTTTCTTTTCGATTTGAGTGATACTCAGTCATAATTGCAGGAATGGCTACCGCGTAGGTATTCTGAAGACCATAACCTTCGTGAGCGTCCCACTGGCAATGGCAGTCGGGGAAATTACACAGAGATATCGAATACGCTTCCCATATAGTTCTTTGATATGTACGATTTGCAGTAGATCCACGGTGATGCCTTGCCTACACATGTTTCCCTTATAGAGCACATTCAGGCGCCACAGTAGGCTGCGCTTCCTGAATTCAGACCACAACGTCTTAATACCCGTTCTCAGTCTCTTTAGCACCTACTAAGGGACAACAAACTTGTGTAACATTATAACAATCAAAGTCTGTTCTGCCACCTACTAGCGCTTCATGGGCTCATTGTGCTCCAAGGCCGGTGCGCATTCCGGGGGACATCAGGTGTTGGGAAGCACTGTCGCCCAGTCAAATGATGGCACCACCGTGGCACCGTCTTCTAATCCTCGCGCCGCAGCTGCAGAGGCTGCTGAGAGAAGGTTGAAAACGGTAAGCCGAATCTGAATTAGTATCCATTTACAGGATTCACCAGGCAGCATAGGCACATGCACGAGGTACTAATGCCTCGAATCCGAATCGGGGACGACTTGCCGAACAGGTCGAGGCCGCGAAAGCGGTGAGATCAGTACCTACGTCAAGAGATGAAGAACGGCTAGTGGTAATGTTAAGCTCTATGACCGATTGTTTACCGTTCCTCACTGTCGCTACTTCTAGTGGGATTGAATAATACTTTGTGCGTGTGTATCGCCTCACCGCCAGTATAACATGTGGGTCATCCATCCTCCGGACTTCTTATTCTGACCTCCAGGTTTTCTCGTGCTGTTTAATAACAGGATCGCCGATCCCTCCCATAATTTTCAATTTACCTCGGACCCGCACAATCATGAAGTGATCCCTCAAGGCCTCATGGGCATGTTTCTTCTTGTATATCATGTCCCACTATTATCTTACACGTCGTCGAACTCAGCGGACTACCGGTGAGACAGCATGACTCGGATGTTCGGACACGTTGTTTTCATTGTAGAGCATGCCATCTCTTCTGTTCCCATGATCGAAGAAAGTGACGCCGTTTTGATTTGTCTTGGTCCATGTACTCCCTGAGATGCAAATGGGTAAATGATGATTGTTGGAGGATATGATATGGTTGTGTGAATCCCCCGGTTCGGCTCATTGCATTAAGGCGGATGTTCGATGCCGCCACGTGGTCGTGATCGTCACAACGTCTACCAAATACATAAGTAGTGCTGCCCTTAAGAACTGTCTCTACGATCACCGAACGCATGAATGTCATCCGAAGCCGATGAATGGAACAAAGTGTTGTGGGAAAGGCAGCCTTTTCCTGATAATTACATCCACCCTCATTCTTTCCTCTCTTCCTTGAGGCGGAACCGTTGGTAGGCATAATTTATCTCCAAAACGTGGTACTTAATATTCTCTAAAGCTAATTTCAAGCCGTACACCTATTGGCCACTAGTACTGCTATGCTGTGCGATCACACAGCACTTAGCGACAATCTTCACATTCCTCGCAGTTTTTGTGAGGCTCAAGGAACGCTGGCTTGATGCCCGTGTCCTGTTGTGGGTCTCGATAGTTAGTTTCTTTGGGGGATATGCTATGTATGAGATCCTCAGCTATTCTAATCTTGGCCGTGGTGCCTTCACCCGTACGTCTCCACATCCACCACCCCTGGACCCTTCATTGATTGTTGTTGCACCTACCAGGCTCAAATACGATCAAATCGTCCCTTCTTGTTTTCCTCGCGTTGATGGGTTTGTCACCTGTTTTGCGAACTTTGACCGCAGCAACGTCCTCGGACTCCATTTGGGCGCTTTCAGCATGTCTCTTCTTTCTTAACGCGTTGCTCGCCGATTATAGTTCCATGAAACCAGTCCGACAGGAAAGGTGGGTTAGTGCCACGTTGACCCTGTTGTCAATTCTCATCTTCCGTGTAGACTGACATCTGTACTATCCATGAATGCCGCGATCTCGTCATCGGTTGTCTTGGCCTCGCGACTGCCTGACGATTTGGCCGTCTTTGCTCTTGTCCTGTTTGCTGTGCAATTGTTCGCTCTTTTCCCGATCCTACGTCATCAGCTTCAGGTGGGCCCGGTAATTTTGCCTAGTTATATTATCGTGTAAACTCTGATTATAGGTCACACCACAAGTCGCACAGATCCTCTTCACACTGACCCTTTGTGTACTATCGTTTGCTCTAACGTTACCTTTATCCGTTTCGGTCGCCTACATTTATGCAGGCATTTCGATTACGGTAACGTTCGTTGCCCCGGGAGTCCTAGTCTGGGCACAAAAATACAAAAAGCACGTCACTTCGTCAAGCTTTTTCCTTTCTGGTTAACATATCTTTCCGCAGCGAGATAAGAGGACCGTGGGATGTCGCCGTTCCGAGACTTAATTGATAATTGGTCCACCCTGTTTAAAACGTGGAGCACAGCATAGAATCTTACTTTCTAAATATCTTTGTCCTCCGCCGAGCAGAAATGACTTCTGTCGGCCCGTAGGCGAATGCCACGAGCCCATAGATCCAGACGAGTATAACGATAGCATTGGCCAGTGAGCCGCTGGCGAGTTACCGACTTCCGCGAAGGACACGCGGTGTTACGCATGCGCAGCCATCAAATAGAGTGTTTTAATAATAAATGTATTGTGCAACGAAGGTACATAACATATTACATGTGACACTATGCAGCAGACCTTTATGGAGTAAGTGCAATACAGTAAGTAACTGGGATCTTTAGTCGCTGTACAAATAATTGTGGTTACATAGTCCACTGGTGACGAGAAGAATGATACAATCCCTAGGGATCAAATGAGTGAACTGGTAATCGTTGAGGAGTACATTTATATATGCATCATGTTTGCATGTCGGAATCGTCGTGGTGAAGGCGGGGACGCTTCGAGCCAGCCACTACGCCCATTCCGATGCCCCTGGCCTCGAGAACTTCCATAGCAACCTTAGCCGCCCCTTCAGAAGTTTTTTTGGTCCTGGTACGAGTTCGACGGAGTGCTCCAAAAGCTTGAGCTTTGATGACCGCCAGCGTGCCCGAGATTGGGGGTGCACCAGGAGAAGGTGACCTCGACTCCCGAGAACGTGCTCTACGAGGTCGGAGTTTCGAATAGGGGGTGGCTTCACCTTCGCTACTCCCCCGCTCGTGATGAGAGCCGTTCTCGCTTCCAGAGAAATGAGGAAGGGAGGGTAGAAGCGGACTCGGACCGGAATTCGCGCGACGGGCCCCAAGTCTGTAACGCACACCGTCGCTGCCCGCGCTAGGAAGCGAAATGTCGGCAGTGCCACCATGTAAGGTTAAATCAGCACCGTGGGTATTGGAGTGCCTGCGATAATCAAATTCCGCACGATCTTGCGTGATCGGGCCATCAGCAGGGAACGTAAATTGGAATGGAGACGTCAAGGACGTGCTAGATGAGGATGGGGGAGTTGATGATGTGGGGGAGATGGAACGACTACTGGGAAAGATATATGGGGTTGTTTCTAAGTGATTGAGTTGAGTCTTCTGCTCTTCAAAAGGGCGGTTTGCATATACATCAGGAGATGTCAAGGTAGGAGAACCTACAAGCTCTATCAGAAGTTGTAAGATTGGTGGCGGGAGCATTAACTAACCATTAGCGGACGTAGTCTGCGCCACGTTGTGAGTCCATGGTCCGTCCCGGTTGATGGGTTGCATCGGATACGGGTAAGAACCATATCTTGATACTCGGGCGTTCATATGATGTCCAGCTCCACCGGAGGTTATCTGCTCGGTCTCCACGCCAGTGTAAGAAAGTGCGGGAGACTGAGTCGCGTATGAGTGACTTGGCGCGCTGGTATACGAGCTGCTGCACAAAGAATTGGACGTCTCATCGCTGGTCTGATATCCCATGCTATCATCACTATAATGACCATGCGACGAGGAGGTACGATTGTTGATGTTGGTTGGTTGAGGATGAGCAGCAAAAGATGAAGGGAGCGGAGGCAAGTCGTCAGATTCAGGAGCCTGTCCTGTCTTCCTCGCCTGCCAAAGGGCTCTCCAGAACTTCTCACGTTCGCGCAATTCATGTCTAAGGCGTGCATTGTCTTGTCGTAGATCCCCGGATTCTGATCGCGCTTCGCGACATGAATCCTGAAGCTGGAGGACGACAGACTCGAGACTAGTGACTAGCGCATATGATAAGGATGAGCGGTGAAGGTAGAATAAAGTAGATATGACTAACCTGTCTCTTCTAAAGTTGCTATGTAGTTTGCTCGCCTCAAAAACATAACATTTGAACATGGTTAAAGCAGGGGTTGGAGAGGTATGGCTCACCTTTGGCGGAAGGCGGCTTGGGCATCCGCATTTTTCTTTTTTCGGACAGCAATATCAGACATGGGGGCGGTAGGATCGTCGTCAACGTCTGCTTTGAAGTTGGATTTATCGTCTGAGGGAGAATGGCCGGTGTCGGCTCTATTAGGCATGTGAATACAAAGGTTGTAAAAAGGACAATAAGGCTTCTATCAAACCCAGCCAGACAAGCTTGGGATGTAAAGGAGGGACTTTGAGACGATCCACAGAAGAGAGGACGGTTTAAAATGGCATGGAAAAAAAGAATTCGAATCAAGGGCACGAGGAGAGGGCCGCGGTGTGATCACGTTAAGCGAAACTGTTTACAATTTCAGACTGTCCGTGGGGGCCTCACGGGGAAGTTATTGCAATTCGGAATCATAATATGTTTGTAAATCGTAGATGCTGGCAGACGTTTGACCTTCAGGTGATGGGAGGTGAGTGACTGCACATGTGATCCCTTGTGTGTGATCTGCATTCATTCCCGAGCCATTGAACGTACCCGGTAGCAACCCTTGCTCAAGTGCTCGCCGCTCTCAGGAACCTGTTGTTTTGGCGCATGTGCGGTCGAATCTCGTTCTTACCCGATGCAATCCTTCATTTCACTCTGAAAAGCCGCGTTTTGACGGCCGATTGCACTCTATAGATCCAACACTTCTCCACTCTTCTCTCACTCCAACTCACCGCAGTGACCGCGATCAACGCACTAATGGAGATTCACGACCCTAAAGGGGCACACCAAGGACATAGTCATCCATCTTTTTCGGCTTAGACACGCCGTGTCCCATGAAAATGAGGCCGCGAATGCAAAACCTACGGACCGAATCACAACATCCTCTCGTTACGGTTATACCCTCTTATGCACCGGTGGAATCCATCTCGGATTCATCCTCACCTTCCATATCTTCATCTCCTTCCATATCCAGTATATCCATTGTCGTGCCATCACCGTCAAGAATACAAACAACTCTCCTTCCGGCTCTTCCGTTGACCGCGAGGGATACTGATCCGTCTCTGCACGCGGTTAATTGGCGACGTCTCTTGATCGGGATGGGTTTCAACAGCTGTATCATGCCGTTAGTAAAAGCACCGGTCACAAGGTCTCGACAAAAACATGGTGGTGCACGGTACTTACATGCCTTTCGTTCAACCTTTGAAGCACGTTGGCTATCATATCTTTCCGTGCGGGGCCGTTTACGTATCCTTCTGATTGCGTTTGATACTCTAGGGTGCTGTAGTGAACCGTAGCTGCAAACATCGGGCCTTTGACTGTTATTGAATGGAGAGCCAAATGGACATAAATAATGGCTTACCGTCGGTTCCTCTGACTTTGTATACAATAACGAGGATCTCGTCGTCGAAAAACTCAGCATTGCAAAGATGAACATCGGTAACATTCTCGGGCTCATGACCAGCTATGGAGCACTCCATAACAATGACATCAATATGCAGCGGAACCCCAGCGGCACATTTTGCGTAAGGCGTCCGGGTCAGGCAGACTAATTTGTACACATTGAATTACAAAAAAGGCGAAGGAGCC